TTTCTACATTTTACACCAAAGTATAATTTTGTAGAGACATTTTAATAGAGCTGGCACCATTTAAAAGTCTGATACTGACAATGTGATTTTGTTTCCTAGCAACTGGTAAATGCTTTTAGACACAATTACATATATAAAAGTGTTATCTTCCTTTTAGGCCAAATTGAAAAGGAGAAAAAAAGAATTAAATTTTTTTTTCTTCATTAAATGAATCTATAGTTTAAAAAAAACAAATATATCTAAGTACAGATTATATACAATTATTTATGTACAAGGTATGGTGTATATATTTGAAGATATCACAGAGAAAGCTGCAGAAATCTTAATTGGTGTGTTCTCAGAGGACTAAATACAAAGTTTTGAACCTGTATTATATTCATACCAAAAGAGCTAAGCAAAATTTCCGTATGATTTAGGAAATTTTGATTCTGATATTACTTAAACTTCCATACAATAGAAAATTGTCATCCAGAGTGTCAGTTAATTTTATATAAATGATAGAATCAGCTTGATATACATGTATATTGTCTTTACATGTAATTAGAGACTTTATTGATCTGATGTCCAAGGAGGTTTTAATACACTGAAATAGGTTATTATTTGACATGGTGGGATATCATGGCATGTGAAGTGAAGACGTTGGACTAAAACAATGCAGAATATGTGTTGGAGTTCCTCTGCCAGCTTTAATAACATTTTCTTCAGGACATCTCTAATCACAGTTATTACACAGACAGTTCTAAATTAGTTGGACCACAAAACATGGTTATCAGCCCAGCACACGGGAAATGGATAGTGGGCAAGATACGTTAGACATTTAGAATGGCTGGAGACAGATTTGACAGGGGAAGATTTCAGGATAATTGTTAGAGAAAGATTGGGGAGGAAGAAAACTCAAAAGTGGTTGTTTAAGAGAGATTTGGAAAGTAAAAAAAAAAATAGAGATGTCAGTATCGATTGTTCAGGAAGAGGATGTGAAGTCAGTCATGTTGGATTTACAGAGATCAGATATAGAGACACGAGGATAAGAGGGAAATCCCAAACAAATTTGGAAATGTTATTGCTGCTTTTGAGATTAGAAAAGGTATGATTAGCTTGTCATTGACAGGAAGTCAGCTTGTATCTTGGACTTTCAGTCCCACAAAGGCTTTTTGGGTACTGGTAAATAGATGTTTTCACTAACCCATTAAAAATTATGATTTCTGTGTTAAAAAAATCTTAGAAAAGAATACCTGAAATAGATTTCAGTCTAATTTTATAAACTTGAACTTAATAGGAACCTGAGTTACCCCAATACCGAGTTTATCATTATGATAATGAGAGACTATGTGGCTAGGACCAAGGAAACACTTGGAGTTAAATGGGATCTGTAGTTATCAGAGATGAAGATGACAACGTTTGAATTATTTATTTATATTAATGACTAGCTAATTAATGATAATCAAGTGCTTAGTATAGTGTGGGTGATCTGGTTTAGTGTGTGTGATTGGATAAACCAGCTGTTTTTTTTCTGTCAGTTACTGGTAGCAGGTGATAAATAAAGGAGAGGATTGGCTGTACGGTATCAGGATTGGTAATTTTTCAGGGATGCGCATTAAAGTTTAAGGATAAAGTTTCGGGTAGGGATTGTCGTGACATTATTGACCTTATTCATTATAACAAAGGATATGGTATGGTTTTCATATGAAAAAAAAGTGTTTTCAAACAACAAAGGATATGGTCTTGAACAAAACGAAGAATAAGATTTTGATATGACATAGGCTATGGTTTTAAATTAACATAGGCTGTGGTTTTAATATGACAAAGGGTAAGGAACAGATATCAGTGTATACATAGTTGATACTTGTTGTCTGGAAATCTCTTGAATCCTGATTTTTTTACTTGTAATTTTAGTTTCGATTACTCAAATTTTATTGAGTTGAAATGTTGTTTGAGTGAAAGTGATTTTTCAGTCCCTTCAATTGTAATGCCAGGAAAAGTCATTCATTGTCTCGAAATTAATTTTCGTCAAAACATCGATAAGTGTTGCATTTAGACAAGACATGAAAACATTTAGCTTGCATCTTCAGGAACGTTCAAAATGAAACCGTCAAACCAGTTCAAACTTTCTGACGAAAGAAACCAATTTTTGAGCTTGTTTACTAAAGGACTGAGATCGGGCACTTTGCTAGATTTAGCGCTTGGACAATATAAGTGCTAAAAGTATTTTTCATTGATTGAGTCTATATCTGTACATGATTTGTTAAGTCTAGTGTTGTACAAGGTTTTCTATAACAGGTAAAAACTTTCTAGTGCCATGGTTTTCATATGTCGATTTATTATAAATAAAGTCATATTGATATGATCTGTAGCTTCATACATCATTTCTTGTAGGGTATCAAAAGCAAATTTTATTTTCGTTTTATTGTCATTCCATATAACTACATAAGGGTAAATAAATATAAACTTTATTTATTTTACAACAATTGCGAAACAAGTTATGTCAACTTATACTAATCACTCTTGTTGGCCCGGATGTAAGCGCGCGAGGGATCTTATTGTGGGAGGAAACCGGAGTACCCGGGGAAAAACCCACGTGGTCGGGCAGGTGACCCCTTACCTTATCACGTCCGTTCTGGGAATCGAACCCGGGTCGGCTAGGTGAAAGGCGAGTGTGTTACCACTGCACCACCCGACCAGACATAAGGGTAGTGTATGGGACGGAACAACATGAGTACAAATGTATTTGATTGGAGTTGTTATTACATGTTTGTTGTTTGGATGAAAGTAGAAATTCATTTATTTATTTTTATTTACTGCCATTACAAATAACATGTAAATTACACTTTTTCTACCACTGTGTACCATGCTATCCTAGCCTTTCTTTGTTCAACCGTAATCAACGTCTGGAAACTGATATCGTAAACCTTATTCAGACAATTCCTTTAGACAAAATTCATAAAAGCAGAAATATTTTCCATGGTCCCTTGAATTTAGAGATGACGAGTTTGGATTCTAGTTTCTGGTATAGTGGATTTACCAGAGATTTGTACTGGATGACCTCTGTAGAAGTATTTAATTCCTTGTGTTATGACTTGTTGATTACTACACTTATGTAGGATCAAGTTGACTAAGTCTAAGTTATATTTTTACAGTATCTGTTTAATAGCTGTTTAGCTTTTTTTCTTTTATATGTTATTTTTCAGGGTTAACAAGGTAATATTTTTTCTGATATCAGTCAATTTGTGCTAATTAGTGAAATACTAGCATATAACTTGTTGATTCCCCTGTAGTACACACTAATGAAGTTCAGGCTCTCTCAGTGACCTTATACATATCAAAATATAGACTCCCAAGAGGTATCAGCTTCAAATCTCCCTTATCATCTCGTAGGAAATTGAATGAATCTGTCAGATAAAAAATAAATTGCAGTGTTTATCTGTAGAGATCCACCCCCATTTTTCTTATCATAGCAACCATAGCTTATGTACCTGCCAACCACTTCCTCACATCAAGTTCAAAGGTCAGATGTCAACCTGACACGAATACAAGGTCAAAAGGCTTAGGCTAAAACATCTCTATGAGTGGTGTATGGAGAGAAGTATAGCAGTAACTACAACCTACGTATTTTTAGACAGTAAACAGAACTAGTTCATGATAAATCTTTTCTTACTTTTTGATTTTGATTGTCAGATTTGAACAGCTATATTGTCTCCACATCATGCAATCTCTGAAGATTATATTGACGAACATTTTATAGGTGTTAATAAGGTCATCAATTAGGCCTGTTAACAGAGTTAGGGTGTTAGCTACACTTACACTAGTAATGTGACCTTACTGAGTGATATTTTTGGAATGGACCAGTGATTGATATGAAGATTGTATGGCTGACAAGGATCAAATTATAAGTAGGTTAATAAGTTAACCCAAATAAAAAAGTAAATCAATTCACAGAGAAAATAGCTGTATAAACATAGTACAAATGACACATGTGAACAGCACATTGTAATACAAATTTAGAATTAGATACATTTCAGGGCCAAAGCAATGAATTAAACTGCATCATGAAGCAGTTTCATCCTTCTGGGACTTGTTAATGATGCTAAGGACCTAATGTTGAAGTCTAAGAGGCAACTGAGAAAAGTCAAAAGAGATCCGAAAAAGAAAAGTAAAAATCTAGCACTAGCCTCATGATTAAAGAAGGCTTTAATCAAAATGAATAGTTTATAACATGGGACCATTACTGTAGAGCTAAATCAAGTTTAACTCACTTACATGGGATTTTTGGGGCCCCCATAGCGCCTCATTCAAGTTAACCTTTGACAAAATTGGCTTTTATAAGATTAATCCATTTTTAATAAGCTATAGCATATTATAATGCAATGCCATTACAACACCTGCCGGTATCATCAAATCTGGAGCAATATATTTTACAGATGTTAGTGTCATGATAAATTAATGCATCTACAATAATTGTGATTTAAACAAAACACAGAAACTGCAAGTAGAGTGTGATTCTTTAAATGTTATTTTAGCGAAATGTTTTTAGCCTGAGACATAACAGAACAGCTGACATGTAGAAGTTACAATAACTTATATTTTTAATTGTTAGTTTGCCATTTTGAATTCTGAATTACAAGAAAACTTAAGTATTGTGATATTACCTGAAGATCAGCATGAATTGCTGTGTAAAAATCAAAAACTGTTGAGTCGTTGGACAAAAGGCAACTTCCATCCACCAAAGCAGACCCTGACTCACTGCCTTAATGAATGGTTGAAAACTTAAGTATTGTAATATTACCAGTATTGTGATATTACCAGAAGATCAGGATAAATATTGCCATGTTGAAATAAAAAAACTGTTGGGTCATTGAATGATAGGCGACATCCATCCACCATCGACAAAGCAGACCTTGACTCACTGCCATATTGAATGGTTCCTCTTTGCCACAGGAATTCTTTACATGTGTTTCATGTTTCAAAGTCTGTATAATTAGATGTGACAAAGAATAAAGTGCTCCTGAGGATATTAAATATTTATTTGTTTTAGTTATTGGCCTCAGTTTTAGTGCTTTATGAGAGGGACTTCACATTTCATACATACTAGTAGTTTTGTAGTGAATGCCAAACTTTGGGTGTGTAATGTAAGACCATTACATGGGTGATCAATTTCATCCCTGAAAACACCTATAAACCTGCTGTATGCTATATGACCAGCAGTTTATATGAAATTGATTCTGACTTTGATGATTTCGTCTTGAAAATTATGGTTTTAGTTCATATTCAGGGCCAGTAATGATTATTCACAAACAACAACATGTCTGCATTTATATGTGTTTGAAATATTGAGCTGTAGGGATACAGACCCCATCATACAGTAAAACATCTCTAATATGTCTCTCTTCTGGGATATTGTTCAAACGCTTTTGACCATATTGCTTAAAATAAGATTTGTACAATGTTTCAAATGTGCCACAACTATTTCTCAAACAGATACTCTGGGGAAGAGCATTAAACTACCTGGCAATTCACACAGAGGTAAAGAACTGTAATGTGTATGTACTGCCTGTTTTCATGGCAGGTTTGTGTTTCCCAAGATGCTGAGATGGCAGGCCGTTATGTGTTGGAGAGGTTGGATTGCTCTGATGTGGACCTCCAAAATGATATTCTATGAATTAGCCACCATATACTACAAAGAGATCCAGTCTCAAAATGACACAGTCTTTAGAAGAAAAACAAATCCTTTCTCTTTTCTTCTTTTGTTTTGTTCCCTATCACTTAATGCGAGACATTTTCCAGTTTATTGTAATAAGGAAGGAGAAATGAAAACCACTTCTACACTACTCCCTCCTGCACAAAGTCTTTGTCCCTGAAGACAGTAACAACCCAGGTTCAGTATCTCCAAGAAGCATCTCAATCTCCAATAGTTCTACCCGTGAAGTAGTCTACGGCACCAAATCTGTAATAGGATGGAGTTATGAAAAATACCTTGCCATTGCGGAGATTCAAACTAGCAATCCTTCAATATCTTGTAGGACACTTTCCCACTAGACTAAAGGGAGATTCCCACTACCAGGGCCTAGTAAAGCAACCTTTACTCACAACTGCTACAGTATATTTTCTTAAAACGAAACTGAAATGATGTTTTCGAAGTATAAAGTTTTGCTATTTGAAGCGTTAAGTCCAAATGGTCAGTGTTGGTTTTACATATCATTTCAACCTGTTTCTGTTACATAGTGGGCAGAATTTTCTTCTTTTTATTCTTCAGCTATCGTGTTTGATACCGAACATGGGGGAACAAGCTTAACTTCAAAGGTTATAGTTAATATTTGTCTAATGTTACAGAAGCCCTACAATGCTACACCACTGTTGTCTATACACCAGGCACTAATGTAATTCTCTGATTTTCTCTTTTATAGTGTCAAATGCCAGTGTCCAGAACATATTTGTCAGTGGTTGTTCTCGAGAGACTATTGAGTTGGGATGTCCATTAGGTCACAAGATTGCCATCAAAAGACTGTTTTACGGTGTCAAGACTGATCGTAAATGTGCTGACCGAGGACGTAAGCATAAGAGTGACTGTTGTCGTCGTACCTACGATGACTGTCTGATATTTAATGAGGACAAGTATAATGTGCTGAATATAATGTGTTCAGGCTACAGGAACTGTGAGGTTGACGTGAAGAGGATTAACACCCGAGGTGAATGTGATAACCCTGAGTGGAGACTTACGGATTACATGACTGTCATCTACGACTGTGTGTCAGGTAAGGTCATCCACTGTCTTATTCTTCAGTGTCTGTTTCTCAGGTAAGGTCAAAACGTCATCAATTGTCAATGCTTCTGCATCTGTATGTCAGGTGAGACCAAAAGGTCATCAGTTGTCTTTGCTGCTGCTGAGTCAGTAAAGGTCAAAAGGTCAACAGTTGTCTATACCTTAGATTGACTTATGACATTATAACTTGGCTTGATGGCTATGTATGTTTATACATGTGTACATTGTATTTTGGAACAAAACATTTTGGTTGTATCTGTGAAAAAAAGCTTGTATGATTAATGATGATGTTGCTGATACGTTCAGAATTTTAAACAGATACACCAATCTTTTTTTCTCTGATATTCTATTATCAAATCTTCAAGACTAAGAACCAATATCCTGAATGTCATGAATGATGGCATGTAAGACTTAAAAATCTGTGCAAGGTCTGGACAAATGGTCAAAGGTTGTAACCTGTAGTCTACACTTTGTCATCTTAAGGACTAGAACATTTCTTCCGAGATGTTAGTTATACTGGTGATCATGTTGTTGAACAATTGAAGGTCAAATTGATCATGATAAGAGGATTAAATTGTCTTTTATACATTATATATATTTGTATTCTAAATATATGAATTTTTACAGACACAGATGTCGCCCGGTTCTGTTCCAATGACCATAAACGTGGTAAGGAGTTGTACTTGTCTAACTTGGATTATCCTTCACCTATTGTCCCTGGGCCTCGCACCTGTCGCTGTGTGCTCAAGTCTGGTTATACACAAGGTCTGTCCATCCATGCCATCGATATCATGATCACCCGACCTGAGGACAGTCAAGTCTGTACCCAAAGCCTAAGCATTCAGGACACCTATGGCCAGACCAAGATCATTCGTTGTGGACATGGTGGGCTGTATGGGTTCCGGACCATCTATAACAGGATGGTGACCAATGTCAGTCTGGAGTTAAAAAGCAATGTGAATGACAGCCGTGGTTATATCTGGCTTCACCTCAAAAGTAAGGAGAACTAAATTTGTTATACATATATAGGTTTTATCATTCAAGGTTCAGTATTTCCTTTGTTTAAATTCTCTTGACCAAAAATATTCACTCATGTTTTTCAATTTCTTTTCTTTTGAACAATTCAGTTTTTCAGTATCTGTTACTAAAATCATCTTTGTAGGTGAGAACACTGAGGACTTTGTGAATCTGTATTGTGGGGAAGCTATCAGTTCTCTCACAGCTGGACCAGTTACAAACACCAGTGTAACCCCGAATCCAACAAAAGTGCCACCTGTAGGGAACAACACTGTGTATCCTAGTAAAGGGTGGTCAACTCCACATCTCATACCTGATATGGGTAAGGATCTCTATCAACACCTGTAAAATATCCTCTCATTATTCACCAGAGGTATAAGATATATTATAATCACTTCAGGTTATATCTTACAAACAATGATCACAGATTTAGCTGAGATTAATTATTGGAGATGTTTTCCAAAGAGATTTCCAGATAATACAAACTACTTACTTACTAAAATCAACTTATTTGACTACAGAAACATTACAGCTGTAATGAATCAAAAGTGTCACGTTGACGTTTTTCTGGTTAAATAAAAACAGATCATTATGTATCCAAATTCAGCTAAATGTAGGTCTAATCTTCTTTACTTTATCTGCTTGTTCTTTGTGCTTAACGCATACATTATCTTATCATATCCAGAATTAGAGTAAATTTTAAAAAAGGTATCATTCTCTACCACTTGCTCAGGTCATCAAATCTTAATATGTTTTCAGTCAGATGCATAGTCTCTTATTACAACTTGAGCTATAATGAAGTAGGTTGTTGGTGATATTACAGAACAATAAAAGGTTTGGGTGGGATTATTATCAGGCATGGTCTTGACCGATACACAAACTGACCATTATGATGACCATGCACATTGCTTGTTGTCCAGAAAGACATATTGACAGTTCCACAGAGAGCGAGATGGTATTTTTATATAGCTGTACTGATGGACCTCTGATGTAGAAAATACTTGTTTCAGGTCATTAATAATCAGTTTTTGGCAGATATGATACTAGATTAAGAAATGAGGTGTAAACCACTGATAAACTGGTTTGTTCTCTACTGGTAGTTCCTTCTAACAACATGTCCAGTCACACAGAGGTAGTACACCATAGTATACAACAGTCACACAGAGGTTGTACACCATAGTATACAACAGTCACACAGAAGTAGTACACCATATTATACAACAGTCACACAGAGGTAGTACACCATAGTATACAACAGTCACACAGAGGTAGTACACCATAGTATACAACAGTCACACAGAGGTTGTACACCATAGTATACAACAGTCACACAGTCACATAGAGGTAGTACACCATAGTATACAACAGTCACACAGAGGTAGTACACCATAGTATACAACAGAAGTCTCTTCTAACAACATGTCCAGTCACACAGAGGTAGTACACCATAGTATACAACAGTAGTCCCTTCTAACAACATGTCCAGTCACATAGAGGTATTACACCATAGTATACAACAGTAGTCCCTTCTAACAACATGTCCAGTCAACTAGAGGTATTACACCATAGTATACAACAGTAGTCCCTTCTAACAACATGTCCAGTCACACAGAGGTAGTACACCATAGTATACAACAGTAATCCCTTCTAACAACATGTCCAGTCACATAGAGGTATTACACCATAGTATACAACAGTAGTCCCTTCTAACAACATGTCCAGTCACATAGAGGTATTACACCATAGTATACAACAGTAGCAACATGTCCAGTCACATAGAGGTATTACACCATAGTATATAACAGTCACACAGTCACACAGAGGTAGTACACCATAGTATACAACAGTAGTCCCTTCTAACAACATGTCCAGTCACAGAGGTATTACACCATAGTATACAACAGTATAACAACATGTCACACAGAGGTATTACACCATAGTATACATCAGTAGTCCCTTCTAACAACATGTCCAGTCACATAGAGGTAGTACACCATAGTATACAACAGTAGTCCCTTCTAACAACATGTCCAGTCACATGAAGGTATTACACCATAGTATACATCAGTAGTCCCTTCTAACAACATGTCCAGTCACATAGAGGTAGTACACCATAGTATACAACAGTCACACAGAGGTAGTACACTATAGTATATAACAGTCACACAGAGGTAGTACACCATAGTATACAACAGTCACACAGAGGTAGTACACCATAGTATACAACAGTCACACAGAGGTAGTACACCATAGTATACAACAGTCACACAGAAGTAGTGCACCATAGTATACAACAGTCACACAGAGGTAGTACACCATAGTATACAACAGTCACACAGAAGTAGTACACCATAGTATACAACAGTCACACAGAGGTAGTACACCATAGTATGCAACAGTCACACAGAGGTTGTACACCACAGTATACAGCAGTAGTCCCTTCTAACAACATGTCCAGTCACACAGAGGTAGTACACCATAGTATACAACAGTAGTCCCTTCTAACAACATGTCCAGTCACATAGAGGTATTACACCATAGTATACAACAGTAGTCCCTTCTAACAACATGTCCAGTCACACAGAGGTAGTACACCATAGTATACAACAGTAGTCCCTTCTAACAACATGTCCAGTCACATAGAGGTAGTACACCATAGTATACAACAGTCACACAGAGGTAGTACACCATAGTATACAACAGTCACACAGAGGTAGTACAGCATAGTATACAACAATTGCCTTTTCCTTACTGTTATCGGTGAACTGTGACCAACTGAAATTTTCACACCTGTAAAATACCATCATAAAAATATATTATATCTGTATTAATAAGGTTTCATCCTTTGATTAGTATAATGTTAGACCAGCAATGATAGCAGACCAGCATGGGAGAACTTACAAAATAAATGATAATTAGAAATATCACAAACATCTAATTTACCTTAAACCAGTCATCAGGAATGAGTATTGTTATACCGCCTGACTGCTGCAAGTTTCAAATATCTGTATTATATGCACCCCTGTTATGATAAACATAAAAAGTCAACCAGAATAAAGTTCCGGCTGATATCAGTTACCTGGTAGGAGACTGGAGCCTCTTGGGAAAACGATCAGTGTATGGTAAAATGCCAAGGTATACACAGATGGTATGTAATAGATTTGTCTTATACTACATTTATCACACCACAAACATCAGAGATATGAACATCACTGTTACGTAAGCTATCTGTACTCTGGTGTATGATAAGGTAAAAATTCAGTTCTGTTTGTATTCTTGATATTATTGATTATTATTTTGTCATTCAGGAAACTAATATTAACCTTTCTGGTGGTATTCTCCATCATAAAACATATATGTACTTAATATACTGTAAAATCATTCATTTTTGTGGGGGAGATATTTTCTTTGATTTTGAAGGTACTTTTACTCCACAAATTCATATGTCCATGAACTGTTAGAATAAGTATTATAAGATTTGTTTATCTATATTTATCCACAAAATCAATTGTCCACAAAACAGTCATCTTTATTTAGAAACCCAAGAAATTGATCCCCATGAAAATATATGATTTTACAATAAAGCATCCCTCTCTCAGTCTTCACATACTATAAATGTGGATATTTTTGTGCATGGAATTTTTGTTTAGTTAACCCCCTAACTGTTTGCGTTGTTTAAATTGTCGCGCTGTCAGTCATGCTAAAATACTTTTTCGCGCTGTCAAATGGGCATAACCCGAATATGAGTTATGTCCCTTGTCCAACTACCTGGACAGATGTCACATTAAGTAAAAAGGTGAGTTACTACTTACTTATATATTGTTATGTCTTCAGTTGGTCAATATTGAGGCTGTTAGAAGTTTGAATTATTACTAAATTATGTTAAAATCTGGTCTATTGTTCAGATACATTTTTATAACCAATTGTTTATCTTAGTACTTCAAATGTGTTTAGTAATTATTTTTGAACTAAATATCTAAAGAAGAATGTCTAAAGCATGTAGTTTATGCACACCAATTCAGTTATGTGTACCAGTACTTGTACTCCAGTATGGTGTCTTAGTCTGTTGAATCCATGACAGGTGACATGGTTCAATAATCTATTGACAAGTATTGAATAGCAGCCGACAGGCAGACATCTTGAATTTTGCTTAATAAAAATTATTATCCCTATCTCTTATAAAGAACTGAATGAATATCTCTCAAATTTTATATGTATATTCTTTTTGGTCTATCCTTGTGCCCATTTGATTTTGGGATTGATCAGAAGAAACAAAATGGCTTCCAGGTGGCCATTTTGGATTTGGTAGTAAAGATTATCATCACTATTTCTGCAAAGGAATGTTCAAATGTCTTATCATTAAGAGAAAATACAATGAAGAGAAAAGAAGGGAAAAGATCCAACTTTCAAAGAGCAAATAAAGTTCAAACAATGATGGGAGCAAAGATCCCTTTGAGATCTCTTATCTATGGTCTGGAATGTCATAAGCTAATTATTATAGCCATGTCTAAAACACTTAACACTGACTTCTTAATACATCTCTGTATCAGGCTTCATGTATCACATATCAGTATAATACTTCAAATAACATTTCTCTGTACCACTGCTTCACATACATTGTACATACATAATGTAACAGTATCATGCTTCAAATAACATTTCTCTGTACCACTGCTTCACATACATTGTACATACATAATGTAACAGTATCATGCTTCAAATAACATTTCTCTGTACCACTGCTTTACATATATTGTGCATATCAGTATCATGCTTCAAATAACATTTCTCTGTACCACTGCTTTACATACATTGTACATACATAATGTAACAGTATCATGCTTCAAATAACATTTCTCTGTACCACTGCTTCACATACATTGTACATACATAATGTAACAGTATCATACTTCAAATAACATTTCTCTGTACCACTGCTTCACATACATTGTACACATCAGTATCATACTTCAAATAACATTTCTCTGTACCACTGCTTCACATACATTGTACACATCAGTATCATACTTCAAATAACATTTCTCTGTACTACTGCTTTACATACATTGTACATACATAATGTAACAGTATCATACTTCAAATAACATTTCTCTGTACCACTGCTTTACATACATTGTACATACATAATGTAACAGTATCATGCTTCAAATAACATTTCTCTGTACCACTGCTTCACATACATTGTACATACATAATGTAACAGTATCATACTTCAAATAACATTTCTCTGTACCACTGCTTCACATACATTGTACACATCAGTATCATACTTCAAATAACATTTCTCTGTACCACTGCTTCACATACATTGTACACATCAGTATCATACTTCAAATAACATTTCTCTGTACCACTGCTTTACATACATTGTACACATCAGTATCATACTTCAAATAACATTTCTCTGTACCACTGCTTCACATACATTGTACACATCAGTATCATACTTCAAATAACATTTCTCTGTACTACTGCTTTACATACATTGTACACATCAGTATCATACTTCAAATAACATTTCTCTGTACCACTGCTTCACATACATTGTACACATCAGTATCATACTTCAAATAACATTTCTCTGTACTACTGCTTTACATACATTGTACACATCAGTATCATACTTCAAATAACATTTCTCTGTACCACTGCTTTACATACATTGTACACATCAGTATCATACTTCAAATAACATTTCTCTGTACCACTGCTTTACATACATTGTACATATCTATATTAGGCTTCAAGTAATACGGTACATCTCAGTTTTTGCTTCTAACAGCAAATCCATGTACCAGGATGAAACTTAACATATGACATATTTGTATCAATTAAGCTTCTGTTTGTTTAATTAGATTTGTATTTATCTTTATGATATCTGCTATGCTTACTTAAAGTGGTTAATATAATCACATAGCTATAAATGATCAATTGTTATAGAAATATCAGTAACTGTACAAATGTAGGACAGAAATGATGGATGTGAACTCTCTTAAAACAATAGTAGTTTAATAGGGTGATAATGATGCATTGTACTTATAAGGAAATGTTCTATTTAATATGATAAACTGATAATTTTTATCCTTTTTATACACATCTTTGATACATTTTATATGTGTGTGTATGCCTGTGGTATTTTATGAAGTACTAAATTTGAGATAATCTGTTAAAATCATCACCAACATTACCACCATGGGCAGATAATCAAATGGTTATAGGCCTGTAAACACCAAGAAAGCATTTCACAATGTTAGCCATCACTTTCTCCTGCTTTTATCTAATAAATCATATAAATTTTCATTGGTTCATCCCAATTTATAACAACAAAGGGCTGTTAATTTTAGTGGAATCTAGTGGAAGTATTTTAAGTATTCTTTAAAAATTAAAATTGGTTGTTCATTTCTGTGAAAGCATTACAAAAACATCAATATAATGATTATGAGCTTCTCAAGATGTTATCAGACTGGTATAAATCTATACCTAGATTTAGTAATGTGACCTAATTTGGTTTTTAGTTTCCAACAATGTATTAATTCTTAATGAGTTGTCTTATTCTAATTCAGTTATAAACTAGCCCATTTTGTCAGCATTAATAATTTTCACACAATATACATCTTATCATCATTTTCATCAGCTGTACAATAAATTATGTGTAAATCTTTGTATTTTGGTGTGATGAATCTGATTCCCAACACTTCCCTGAATCAGAAGTCACTCATGACAACCTTGCCCTCTGATTGGCAGAGATTTTTCATGAAATTTGAATGTTCTGTCAAATTAATAAATCAATTATTTCCCTCTGATCAAAGCTTTTTGTTGCAATTGATTTCCCATAGAAAAAGTAAAGTTGTCACCATTTACATGTTTTACTATGATATAAAATATGTGCCTTTATTCACTAAGTGCTCTTTGTCCATTTATACTGTATCAGCTCTATAGATGTATGTATAATGTATAAGGAAGGATAAAGCCCATATGGGCCTCTTGTTGATTTACATTTTTAGGGCTTCTTTCTCTTCTGTTAATTAATATTTCATTTGCCATCTCTAGTCATTTAACAAATCTTGATTACTACATTGTGTATTTCAATTGCCATCTCCAGGTAATTACCAGTGCAGGATGAAACAGAATATTTCAATTGTCTTCTCTAGTGATTTAAAAATTCTTAATGAATACTTTGATTGTCTACGTTAGCTATTTTTGTTTAAAATTTGCCTCCCCAGATTATGGATAATTATGGCATTGTCTTCCTTGTGTATTCTGTTTTGTTACTGCCTGCCAGGAAACATGTTAACTCTTCCTTTTCCAGAAATTTAAGGTTGTATTTGAGATTAATAAGTATGACAGATTGGTTATGAAAAATTCACATTCAATTGCAATTTCGTTTTTTCTGAACAAAATTTTCCCCCTGATTTCTTACTGTTGAAGACTATGGTTACCAATTCAAAAATGCTAAATATCAGTAATTTCAACCGAAAACTACATCTTTGAGATATGTACTTTTTGAATACCTGTCTGAAAAATGAAAGACACTGTCATGTTAACAAAGTATGCACGTTGAGGTCAATTGCAACTTTGTGAGGAAAACCCACTTTCTGTAAAGCTAGTTTTTGGTATGTAGACATAGATTTGAGATAGCACCGAGATTAAATTCCAGTCTATCACAAAAGAATATCAAGAAAATATGTACTGCTACCGGAATATTGTGTAATCCTGATTGCTATCTGTTGACAGTGGCCATCATTGGAGGTATTGCGGCAGCTGTTGCCCTTATCCTTCTGGTTTGTCTGGTAGCCATCGCTGTCCATTGTACAAGGTATGTTGGTTCATTCATTGCTTGTTGTGTGCTTTATTGTAATTGTGAAATAAAAATTATTACTTTATTAGCTGTTTAATGAAAAAATATTTTTCTGGTTCTGTACCATGAATTGTTACCACAAGAAACACAAACAAAAATATAGAAAAACAATGCAGATTTGAATGATTGATATCGTACATTTCTGCAGCAACAGAAGTTAAGAAAAAACGTAGATCCAATAGTACACTGATGTTGTAAACATGTATATCTATATATAGGTATATAAGTTAATTATTCTAATTAAGGATACAGACATTTTAATTTCATTGAAATTCTAACATTAATTAATCCAAAAGTACATTTTTTCGTATATTTATTTATGGACTTCAATTTGAGAAGAGTTGAAAATTACGTTAGGAAGTTAATTTGATTTAACAGTTTTGTATAAGAGTTGGCTGAGACCTGAACAAGTGATACTGAATAGTTAATTGGGCTTAAATCACATCCTACAAGTCCTACTCAACACCCAAGCTTTCAGTAAAAAAACAGAATTTAATTTTAAGAGGATAAACAGGATTTCAGGTGATAACAAAATAAACTGAAAACAGTTTTGTATCAGTTTCCTCACTCTGTTACCATCACAGTGAAAATTCAAACAATGTTTGCCCTGTGCAGTCTTAGAAACAGTGGATCACAGGGTAAATTGACAAGATTTCAACAGTTATTATTGAATTCTGTTTTTAGAATCCTCTTAATTGAACTGTATAACACATAACCAGTACAAAACCTCAAGGTCTAAAAAAATTTTTACCAAGAATTAAAAACAAGAAAATCTGAGGCTTGGCTCCCATAACAGTGCATTGGTATGACCACTCTTTTGATGCAGAGCAGTCTATTATGGATCCATAGGTGATATAAGGTTAGTGTCTGTTATATTACATGTTTAGATGGAGGGGAAGCTGTTTTCAATCGGACAGGGAATACATCAAGTGGATTGGAGGATGTGGGTCTAACAGCCACAAACCCTTCAGCACATTACTCACTCTCAACTTCTCAGCAATGTAATACACTGAATTTCACCACAATAGACACAAAGTTTGCAACAACTTCTTCTTGATGATTTCATTTTCAAGATGTCTTTCAGAGGAATACACGAAGTTGTTACGGTAGATAAGTTATTTAGACTTAAAATGGTTTACTTTGATTACAAAATAAGTATTTCTGTTAGTTCAAGACCCGATCAGATGTAGGTACATGAATTATATATACTAAATTTAAGCTTCTAAATTAAAAATAATTATAGCTTTAAATAATGTCCCTGTTTCCATGGTGATAAGTTGATAACCTTCAACCAATGAGATGTATATTTGTCTGTGTTATCAGGAGTAAGACAAACACTTTGGTGATATAGACACCTGCAAGTGTGATGGAGGACATCACCAAACCTTACCACCCACTTCTTCATCAATTGTGTCAAATTTGTATAGAAGGTTGGGTCAGATGATACCCTTTAACCTTTGACCTAGCTGAGGGATGTGTTCTTATCTCCCTTACATAAGAAACGGGGGTCTGAACAGTTTTAAAGGGTCAGAGTATCCTAGTAAAACAGAAATAAGAACTGCAGTGTTGATATAACAGGTAGAATTTCAAAGACATTGAAGAAAATAGAAGCTCCTTGTGTATAAGAGAAAGTCAGATTCATGACAAAAAGGTCACTTGATCCGTGGGAAGTGTAGACTCGCATTGAAGGAATGAAGATTGATGTTTTGTCCAGATTTGTTTCTTTCCTTTCTTAAAAGTCAGAAACTTCAGGTCATAATGTTTAAAGGAAAGATTTTATACTGTTTTCAACATGTTTAATGAAGGAAATATCCGATTTCTAACAATGACCATACATTTCCTTTTACGTTAAAAAAACATTTATATACTGCCAATAGAAGGTGCCCATGATATACCGTTACAGGAAAGTGAAATCAGGATAAAACAGATGCCAAGACCATTAGTGGCTGCTGAGGTAGTAAATGGAGCAGCATATAAAACAAGCATTAGATTGAAGATTTTAGAATGAGAAATGATCTGAGATGATATATGGTTAAACCCAATGAAGATGTGAACAGTTGATTTAGTAGAAGTCAGTCACTGGTCAGCAGTCTTCTTCCTTTAGTCACAGGTCAGGAGCAGTTCTCTGGAGTGTTATATATAGCCCATCTTAAATCCTGAGTTTGGACTGTTAGATGTAAGTCTGTGACAGCATCTGATAGGGTGTTGTCTAAGTTACAGGAAATTGTCAGAACCAGGACTGGGTGTACTGATTTAGTCAGTTGATGACCAAAGTTCATTACACCAACGATCCGTCTGTAGTGGTCATATCAAGGTTACGGCACACAAATCATCTCTCACTGTAGAGGTCACATCAAGGTTACATAACACAAATCATCTCCCACTGTAGAGGTCACATCAAGGTTACAGCACACAAATTATCTCCCACTGTAGAGGTCATATCAAGGTTACATCATACAAATTATCTATCACTGTAGAGGTCACATCATGGTTACATAACACAAATTATCTCTCACTGTAGAGGTCACATCAAGGTTATGTTAAAACAACCATCTTCCTTTCTGTCACATCAAGATTATATCACACAAATCATCTCTCACTGTAGAGGTCACATCAAGGTTACGTCACACAAATCATCTCCCACTTTAGAGGTAACATCAAGGTTACGGCACACAAATCATCTCTCACTGTAGAGGTCATATCAAGGTTACATCACACAAATCATCTCCCACTGTAGAGGTAACATCAAGGTTACGGCACACAAATCATCTCTCACTGTAGAGGTCATATCAAGGTTACATCATACAAATTATCTTTAACTGTAGAGGTCACATCAAGGTTACGGCACACAAATCATCTCTCACTGTAGAGGTCACATCAAGGTTACATAACACAAATCATCTCCCACTGTAGAGGTCACATCAAGGTTACAGCACACAAATTATCTCCCACTGTAGAGGTCATATCAAGGTTACATCATACAAATTATCTATCACTGTAGAGGTCACATCAAGGTTACATCATACAAATCATCTTTCACTGTAGAGGTCACATCAAGGTTATGTCATACAAATTATCTCTCACTGTAGAGGTCACATCAAGGTTATGTTACAACAACCATCTTCCTTTCTGTCTTTGTGGAGGCGATATGAAGATTAGGCTACACCAGCCATCTTCCTCTGCAGGTTTCATTAAGATTATAGTGCACCAATTGTCATTTTTTCAAGAGGTCACCTAAAGGTTACAGACTGTCTTCAGAAATTAAATCAGGGTTATATTACACATTTTTTGCTTTCTGAAGTCACATTAGGGTTATAGTACACCATTCATCTCTCCTCTCTGTAGAGGTCACATCAAGGTTATATGACACCAATCATCTTTTTCTGTAGACCATGCTAGGCTGCCATCAGTTATGATTATGAAATACTGCCTGCTGTAGGACATAGATTGACAATCATTCATCATTTCAATATACACTACTAGATGCGCTCAAGAGTTTCATAGTGTCACATATTCAACATTGAAAAGACAATGAAAGGACAATTAGTGCTAAAGGGTTAAAGGTAAAAGTATGATAGTGCAATATGTAAAGGTCAAAATATGATTGGTAAGGTGAATGGGTATATGTATAAAACGATGAAGGATATAGGATGAGAAGGAAAGGATAGAGTATGAAAGGTGAAGGTCAGAGTATGAAAGATGAAGGTCAGAGTATGAAAGGTGAAGGTCAGAGTATGAAAGATGAAGGTCAGAGTATGAAAGGTGAAGGTCAGAGTATGAAAGGTGAAGGTCAGAGAATGGAAGGTGAAAATCTGGACATGAAAGGTAAAATCAAAAGTTGAATCTTTACAAAAGTAAAGGTCAGAGGATGGAAGGTAAAGGCCAGAGAATGGAAGGTGAAGGTCAGAGGATGAAAAGTGGTCTAATTTGTGTAATAGGTGAATGTTAGAGAAGTGAAAGGATAAAAATCAGCAAATAAAAAAGGGGACAAGAAAATAAAAGATTAAAGATAAAAAGGTCAGAGAATAAAATATTAAGATCAGAGAATGAAAAATTAAGGTTGGCAAGTGAAAGGTATAACAGAACAACAATTATACAACAATTCACGAGGCCTACAATCGACAGGTGTGTGTATCACTTCGTATGTTGAAGTGTCTGTCATTATTGATATACTGTGTAGTCATTATGTACAGACAGATACAGAATTGTTTAGGACTTCTTCAGGATGAGATGAAAATATCATTACATACATCAAGATTTACTCTGATATGAAAGATTATGACCTGTCCTGGTCAAATATAGCCCCAATTTCCTTCTCAGTCGGGGGTGTTTCATCACTCCAGGACAAACTCATCTGAGGATAATATGAAAAAGATGCACACAGCAAGATTTAATCTCTGCTGTCAAAGTAAAAAAATAATAATGGAGCCTTCTGGCTCTAAATAGGATTAAGAATTATGTATTTTCTGGTTGTACTGACATTAGAAGAATATGGATGTGATGGATGGTCTTGGTAACCTTATTTCTTATCAACCATGGATTAGATGACCGGTGGTAGGTTCTTGGTGATGGCCTAGATTTAACCTGGTTTTGGTGATGGTTTGAAGACTGTATAGGAGTTTTAATGCTATTGAGTTTGAAACATTTGGGTTTGCATGGATACTCCAGCTACATCATTATCAGATAATGTAACTCTAGCCTGCATATGGTGACCAATCTAAATTCTCAATATAGAATAGAAAGTTGATTTTGTTTTCAGTCCAGAATACATAAATAAACATGTTAGGAGGAGGGGGAGTTCACGAAGGATCTTGGTTCACACATTCCTATCTCTTAGGTGATATGGACAATTTGTAGCAGTCAGTTCCAGCACTTCAATCTTCTGCTCAAGCTTGGTATTGAACACCTGCTCTTAAACCTTGACATCCACTTCAGACTTTATAGGGCTCTACAACAGACAGACTGTACAGGGCTCTACAACATACAGACTCTACAGGGCTCTACAACAGACAGTCACTACAGGACTCTACAACATACAGACACTACAGGGCTCTACAACATACAGACTCTACAGGGCTCTACAACATACAGACTCTACAGGGCTCTACAACATACAGACTCTACAGGACTCTACAACAGACAGACTCTACAGGGCTCTACAACATACAGACTCTACAGGGCTCTACAACAGACAGTCACTACAGGACTCTACAACAGACAGACTCTACAGGGCTCTACAACAGACAGACTCTACAGGGCTCTACAACATACAGACTCTACAGGACTCTACAACATACAGTCACTACAGGGCTCTACAACATACAGACTCTACAGGACTCTACAACATACAGACACTACAGGACTGTACAACATACAGACTCTACAGGACTCTACAACAGACAGACTCTACAGGGCTCTACAACATACAGACTCTACAGGACTCTACAACATACAGTCACTACAGGGCTCTACAACATACAGACTCTACAGGGCTCTACAACATACAGACTCTACAGGGCTCTACAACATACAGACTCTACAGGGCTCTAAAACAGACAGACACTACAGGACTGTACAACATACAGACTCTACAGGACTCTACAACAGACAGACTCTACAGGGCTCTACAACATACAGACTCTACAGGACTCTACAACATACAGTCACTACAGGACTCTACAACAGACAGTCACTACAGGACTCTATAACAGACAGACTCTACAGGGCTCTACAACATACAGACACTACAGGGTTCTACAACATACAGACACTACAGGGTTCTACAACAGACAGTCACTACCGGGCTCTACAACAGACAGTCACTACAGAGTTCTACAACAGACAGTCACTACAGGACTCTACAACATACAGACACTGCAGAGTTCTACAACAGACAGACACTACAGGGTTCTACAACAGACAGACACTACAGGGTTCTACAACAGACAGACACTGCTGAGTTCTAAGACAGACAGACACTGCAGAGTTCTACAACAGACAGACACTACAGAGTTCTACAACAGACAGACACTACAGGGTTCTACAACAGACAGACACTGCAGAGTTCTAAGACAGACAGACACTGCAGAGTTCTACAACAGACAGACACTGCAGAGTTCTACAACAGACAGACACTACAGAGTTCTAAGACAGACAGACACTGCAGAGTTCTACAACAGACAGACACTACAGAGTTCTACAACAGACAGACACTACAGGGTTCTACAACAGACAGACACTACAGGGTTCTACAACAGACAGACACTACAGGGTTCTATAACAGACAGACACTGCAGAGTTCAACAACAGACAGACATTGCAGAGTTCTAAGACAGACAGACATTGCAGAGTTATACAACAGACAGACATTACTGAGTTCTACGACAGACAGACACTACAGGGTTCTACAACAGACCGACACTACAGAGTTCAACAACAAGAAAGATGTTAACCTTCATAATAATAGCAAGAAAAACAGTGGACAGGGGGAAACAAGTGTCAGTTGGCTCGAAAACAGTGGAAAAGGGAAAATAAGGGTCAATTGGCATGAAAAACAAAGAATAAAAAGGTCAAGGTTACAGTTGATAAAAAAATTCAGATTTACAGAAAAGGCATACATGTGAAAATAAATTTGATTTAAAGTTAAGAGGTACAGAAAAAATGAAGGTCAAGGTTACAGCTGATAGAAGTGAAGTTTACAAATTACAATGGACAGAGATAACAAATGTCAAGGTTGTTGATTAGAAATAGCAACTGAGATTACATCATTGTCTCATTTTTCTACAAAATAAGTGTTATACTGACTGTGAAGACTTCGTTTAACCTTTCTACACTAGCTATATATGGTAATAGACACATCATGGAATCTTTGGTGGTAACTTACAAGCTTTTAAGCATAAAAATGTTGTACATGTGAGATGCACAAATTTGATTTGGTGTTGTGGAAAAATATTTTGACAAGAGACGGATCTAAAGTAGGAATGATTACAGACATGCTAACCTGTTAATATTCACAGCAATGTGATTCCTGGTTTATATAATTGTCTGTGTATTTTCTACAGAAACATACAGGCCCTGTGGCTAACCTGTGACTCTGTGTTATTACTGGAGAGAAACTTTTAGAAATAAGTTAGAATTCCAAACTATCAGTAACGCATACCTAGACTAAATGTGTGAAGCCGGTAGTGATTAAGGCAGCTATTTCAACATACACTTTTGTGATCAATAGGACATTTGTCTCCCTTGGAATAATTTGATAAGATATTTGTCTGTTATTATCCTGTCATTCATGAACCTGCACATATCTCTGTACTCATCAGTCTTAATGGCAGAAAAATAGATCCGACTATAGTGAAGTTTGTGTGGAGACACTCTGACAGATTCCCTACTGTGTCTCATACATATATATATTTACAGCTTGTGTAATGTCCCACTGTGTGTCAAAGGTGTGATACTGTACCAGTATTTAACTATATTACAGCTGGTGTTCTCCTTGCCAATTTTAGTATCCTCTGTATAAATGTTAATAGTTAGATTTATCTCCCTTGTTATCAGGCCGTGATTTCAAGAACATCTCAAATTATGCATAAATTTGCTATGATTTGCCTGGAACTGTGTTTCACATCAGGGTAATTGAATACAATGTTGTAGGAACTTGTTCTGATGTCCTAATTATAGCTGGGTGTGTTCTGACTGACGCCATGTAGAAATGTATTACTTAAAATGTTTCTTATCTACTCCGATATCAGACATGAGAAATAGTTCTGCTGGGTTTGGCTTCTTTTTCAAGTAGTAACAAGGTTGTTTGTATGGTGGTGAACCAGATGTGATTATGTTACAAACTAGCTGTCATTACTTACTATACAAAAGTAACACCTTGGGTCTGTTACAGTAATAGATTGAACTTAGATGTGGAGGTATTCATTGTTTCTGTAATACAAAGGCCCCTTAAGGATGACATAAGTACAATAAATGTTGATGGCTGTATTTAGTTATATCCTGTTTTTCGTCTTGACTTATCTCCAATTTTTAATAGCTACTAAACTTGATCTTACTAGAATGACTTAGTTTTGACTGACAGACATTAAAATAAGTTGTGTTAGTATGTGCTTAATGACTTAGTTTTGACTGACAGACATTAAAATAAGTTGTGTCAGTATGTGCATTATGACTTAATTTTGACCATAGCATACTTGGACTATAAATGAAATGTAAAGCCAATAGTTAGAACAAAATGACGTAGTCTCTCACTTTTACGTGGAATGTTATCTTAAGTCACTTTCCTTGATAGATCTAATACTGCTTCCTTGGTGAATATAAATGACCTGTTATCAGTATGGTTATTGAAATTGACTATCACAGGTCACTGTAATGTCAGTAACCTATATACATTGTAATAGAATGGATAAGTTCAATACATATTTGGTCTCAAACGTATAGAATGCATGACAAGTTGGATATGGAAAAAAAAAACTCTGTAACTATAGGACATGAAAGTAGTCAGGGGCTACATCTGTAGGACATATACAGTAACTCAGATCTAGATATGCTGTAACTGCAATATTTCTTTAACATTTTGTTAACATTCAAAAATGATTTGTGTGTTTTAGGGTACGGGAGCGGCGCCATCCCAAGATACCAGAAGTCATACCGTCGCCAATGGTTCGTGGAAAATCATATGACAATGATGAGCCTGACGCCACTATACAGAGATATAACTATGATGAGGAACGTTACTGTTCCATCAAGAGGTCACCGATGAAAATGACCAAATACTCAGAATTTGATGGAGATTCTGATAAAAAATTGAAGGAGGCTTTTCTTGCACCTGATAATACTCCAGAGGATGACGGACATTTAGTTCCCAATGGGGCACCTCCTCGACCGCCATCTCCTGACCCTGCTCTGTTGGACATGACCCCTCCTCCTGTGTATAATGGAGAAATGGAAAAATATTACACCATGCACCCACAGAAACCCAAGACAGAAATAGCCGAAATAAGAGTAACGTCGTCTTTACCCCACAGAGGGAAGATAAAAAAATCTGTGACATTTTCTCCAGTTGCTATGGTAACCCCTTTACCTTCTGGATCGGAGGAGTCAATTGGCTCTGATGGAGACAGAAATTTAGCCAATGTGATAGATATTTACCAAAATTTGCAGGGGAAACATGGCCCAGGATCTCCAGACCTGAAGGAGGCAAAACATGTGTTGATCCTACCCCCTCCCCCAGATGAAAACAGTGTTCCAGTAAATACTCCAGATCCTTTGGAAATGGCAGAGATGGAGGAGTTATGGAAGACACTGACAACCACAACCATGGATGAAGGTGCTTATGACAATATTGAATATTTGCTGGCACAGAATAGGGCTAACAATCATCGCGAGGTAAATGGAGTCAAGCCGAAAAGTTTTGAAACTGGTGTGTAACAGTGAGTCAGCCTTCATACATATGTATATAGTGCAATATCCCTACACATATACTTATGCTGAGATAACACTTAGCAAGCAAGCACTCCCAGTTCCCTGTACAGTCCTGTGCCATCATGCATGTAATCTGAAAAAGTACATGTAAAGGGACATAACTCCTAGTACCCAGCTTGGATTTTACTACAATTACTACCCAACTTTTCTGTGCAATATCATTGTATAATACTACTGATAAACTCAGGTTTAATTTATTTGTATATTAATATTTATTTAAATTCTGTTTATAGCATTGCAATCAGATCAGATATGATTAATCATTTCAGAATATTCATGAGAAAGAGGAAAAAGGTTTTCTTTTTAGGATAAAAATGTTTAAGTTCACATTTCATCATAATGATGTAGAATTATGACAGTGTATCATTTTTTTCTTTGTTTGGATTGATTTTTTTATTGTTTGATTGTATATACAATATACCATCATTTTGAATTATACTGCATATGATCTGCATTGTTACCATTTTAATAGATGTTCTGTGTTTCCGTGCACCACTTAACTGTTACGGATGGAAGTTGATTTATCACACCAGTCACCATATATTGTCGTGATATGTTTGTACTGATACGTGTACTTACTTCTTAAGAAAGTTGAAAGATCATTTGCTCCATAACTTATGATATATGTGTTGTAAATTTGACAACAGAAATGTGTTTATTTGAAATGTGTTCACAATTTTTTTCATGTACACTATGTACATACTAGTATTAGTTTACAATTCTTCAACTCATTCAATTGATATCCAATACATTTATCACAGAGAAGACCAAACACATCAAACAAAATGTATCTTAATCAACGAAATCTGAATGCATTTATATCAAATTTTGTTGTTGTATTTGTCGGAGTAGAAAAAGTCACAAATTTTTATCAGTGTTGTTTTACTGTATATCTAATGAAGTTATGGGCTGTTCTATACTTCTGATTGGCTGTCCATAGATAAAATCGCCCTTCTGATTGGCTGTCCTTAGATAAAGTTGCCTTCCATTGTACTACACCTGTATCCCTTGTATAATGTAACACACGGTTCTAGGTCTGTGGACCCATTGACCCCAAACCTGAAATCCTTAAGACGCTGATTGTACTGGTGTGAAAAAGGTCGATATGGCCACCAGATCTAAATTTCACAGCTAACACTAGATGTTTTATCATACTTGCTAACTTAATTGTCCATTCCTGAATGGATTGTCTGTTTCTGCTATTTTCATACTTCATGTTTTGTAACATTGTCAAACACTTTAGTGTCTGCTGTTGTTGCCCTACTCACATGTTAATCAAAATGACTATAAATTGATATAGTATTAATATATAAAATCTACCTAATCATTCCAGTTGTTGTTGTATACTGCAGGTATTAACATGGTCATGTAGCTGTATAAAGACAACATAGTGTCAGTATTATAGAAATGTTTTAATTGTAACCATAAAGATGTCTAGTCTAGTCAGATATTGTGTTCTATAAGTTATTGTGTTGTTTAAGCTCGTTTTGTTTCCCTCATCTTCCTCTAATCAAGGTTTATTTGAATTTTACATCTGTATGTTAGTGTTAGAAAAACCATAATCTGCGAGAAAGAGTCAAAATTTAAAGACGAGTAAAATAAAATCCTTGATTTTCTTTTCCCTCTTGGGGCGTGGTCTGTTTATGTACCAGGAATATCATAAAACAGGATCAAAATTTAGATAAAGATCCTAGTAGATGTGTTCAAAACAGAAGGAAAGGATTAATATCTATCTCATATGTACTGTGTAAGGGGAGGTAACCCTTGAGGACAGTGCATATAGGAAATTATGCAGAATGATTGCAATGAAAAGCATCACAACAATATCGTTTAATGCAAAATGTCTTCCTACCATAGGAGTGTACAGTAATATGCTGCTATTTGAAACCATCGCTATGATATTTATGGAGGAGGATAGTTTTATTCTCAAAACAAGTTTTGATGAAATTAAATATCTCTACGTTGACAATTTTGGATCCATGGAAGCTTGGTCAGAAAACAGATACTGGATTAGATATATATGTCTGGTCTGGTGGCATGTCAGGGTAATATTCAAAATAAATAAACATGACAGTTTTGTATTTGAATCAGAGGAAAATGTTTTTTTGCTTTTGTTTTTTGTTGTTTTTTTCGTAAAAGTTTATATAAGATTTGACAATGTAACCAAATCTTTAAGGTTTAATTTGATCACTTACAGGAGTTTAATTATCACACGGAGTCCTCACTTGAGTTTTTATTTTATACAGTATATCCAAAGTATATGTTTAGGTTATTGAGATACTGCAAATGGCATGGTTTAACAAGATGTGAATATTACTATGGAGAATTGACCAATAGACAATCCTAATGAATTACATCATACAGTACATTTATTATAGTAGTTGAATGACACCTTTAACAAATATGACACTTTCTAAAAATAAATCATTAAAATTATTTATGTATAAATACAAGTGTTTGTTATTTCTTTGATGCAATGGTCTTCTACAACTTTATGATTTAAAAAAAAATGTTTAACTTTAAAAGACAACATAAACCAGTGATGTTCATACAGGTATATTTTAGGGTGAGGATATTCTCTCGATGGCTTTCAGTTCCCGTGGTGTCATTGATTGCGAGTCGTTTTAGGAACAGGAAGCAAGATTTATTTTGTTCTATATTTCCTTTTAGGGTACATCGATCCCGAGTCCAACATGATAAAACAAAGCAGTGTCAAATAAATTTGGACTAGTCATACAGATGGGGGCTGATAGGCAGGAATAAGTATTAGCTTGGCAGAGGCATATCAATTTTAGTCACTTGGGTGTCACCAAATCAGGTTTGAAAGATAAATGTCCTATCAAATTAATATTAACTTGGCAGAGGTGTATCAATTTTGGTCACTTGGGTGTCACCAAAACAGAAGTTTTGTAGCTAAATGTCCTCTCAAATTAATATTAACTTGGCAGAGGTGTATCAATTTTGGTCACTTGGGTGTCACCAAAGCAGAAGTTTTGTAGCTAAATGTCCTCTCAAATTAATTTATCAACAGCTACGGTTATTTAAGGATGTCCTCCCAGTGGATGTTAGGTGAATACACGTGTTTAACAGATGAACAGGCTTGTTACTACTATGATGGGGGTACTTACAACCATTTTCAAAGACTCTGGTATGTCTCGGCATGGAAACAGAACCAAAAGCCTTCCTCACTGAATGCTAACTGAAGGCCAAAAGTATGGCAGTGTCTTGGGAGACATAAGGAAGAAGAATGGTCTTTAGAAAAGAATGCCATGGCAGACAGACAATGAAATTAGAAAATGTCTATCAGACATGAATGCCTCCACGCTTATGTGAATCAGAACCCAATCAGGTGTAGAACAAAGTGTTATGATACCACAGGGTAAATATGAATGAAATCTGTTGTTAAGGGTTCTCAAGGTATGATATTGATTCTGAGTGGGATGGAGGGATGAATACACTGTTTGTCCTTAATGAAATGGATAGATAATAAACCAGTCACATTCTAGGGAAATGATGGTGGACAATTTATTTAGGTATGTAAAAAGGACTTACACACTGATTCTTAGATTTGTAAAATTAAGGATGTCTTACAATGTATAACACCAAACAAAACATGACTTGGGTGAAATGTTTATTTAACCCACAATGTAATTATTTATAACTTAAATAACATTGGATATTAGATATATTATATTACATTAACTGGAGTACAACACAGACCTGTCTAAAATGATACACCACAATTATTGAACCCTAAAGAATCAATATTTGCTTACAATATACTGAATGTGTATAACATCTTCATCAATACATGAACTAGTGTGATACCCCACATGAAAATGTAATAAAAAAATTCATACACATTTCAAAACAAGACTAAGCTGAATTAATTACCTAGAACCTTGTCAAACATTTCCACACTACATATGGCACTGTATTGTGCTGTATTCGTGATACGATGCACATCCAGAAAAAATAATGAAAAACTCAGAGGTATGTATATCAAAACTGAGAATATCCAAATTGTTACATCAGGGATTTCTGTTCGTCAACTCAATGGTGATAAATTAGATATAAAGTTAAAACACTAAGACGTTAACCAAAGGTTAAAGGTAATCGGACAAGCTAAGACCTCTGACATGTATAGGAATAGTCAGTAACCTTATCTGTGTTAAAACCCACCATATCAGTCTAAATTACTTCTACAACTCACTCCATACTTATACAGAACTGATGTTACTAAACCACATCGTAAAATGTTATATTGACAGAAATCAACAGCAATTATACATGGAAAACTAAATGTCCCTTATTTCCTGTCGTCCGTGCGACACCTGTATAGCTGTCATCCATTGCATCACATCGGAACCAAAGACAGGTTGAGAATTTCAATCGGACACACAAACAACAATTATAGGTGCAAACAAACTGATTTGAATGTATCCAGATTAGAAATGTGCCATGCCGAAAAACATATTGAATGTAATGTAACTTGGTACCAGGTATTGTCGGAAACCCTCTAGACTCTTCTTTATCGTTTTATCAAACTGAGACAAAACACGAGCAGATCATTACAAAGAAAAAGTTTTACCCGAGTATACACACATATTTCAACGTTGCATGATGTATGTTATGGTGAAATTTCGACTTCTACATCCGCACTTGAATTATACTCAAGAACAACGAGTAAATTATACTCTGGTGTTTGCGTCCGATGGACGACAATTTCAGTGTATGGGAGACAGCAGTACGAAGATGATGTACATGGTGACTGATAATGACCAATTTAAAGTGTATTTAGATTCTTCACTTAGTTGATGCGAAAGAATGCGCCATTTTTATTTCCCCAGTAGCACATTATAGCCATAGCAAAACCGCTATATAGCCATCATGTATAAAACATACAAAATAGGATATATACAGAGAGCATATTTTTCATTTGGATGTTTTATAAATGTTTTGTCGTTGAGCCTCGTGATGATTATCAACAACCAGTGATAAGAATGTATACCGCTTAAATAATTTTTCTTAACATTGTATTTAATCGTCTTCCGTCGATACTTTTCATTGTTGTCCTTCATGAAATTAAGTCGGAGTAAAGTAGAAAATGTACACATTTTGCAAGTCATATTGATTTAATATCCTCGTACATGTACTTTCATTTTCAAATGCAACACATACCTTATTTGTCCACTAATTAAATCTCCAGTAGTTGTTGAACTGAATACTGTTTTCAAATTAACCCCCGAGTTCTGTGAACGACAAAAAGGCAACGCTATAGTTAAGTCTAAGAAAGAATATTAGTGATTTCCGGTGGGAGAAAGCATCATCTTTGCTGTATTGTGTAAACAATATCTTACAAATTACGGTCCTCAAATGTACATATCCGAACATTCCTAATCCTTGATTATTATTGGTTCATTCTTTCTTCGGGAGAGTCGGTGTTTGTGAGGTAGAATTCTCAGGCAAGAACGAGGCAGTTGTCAGTCTATCTTCCCTCTTGCTGACCCTGAAACTAGTCTTAGGACAGAATCGTGCACGAAGTACGACCCGGAACTGCTTACTCATTAGGAGATATATCCAAAAGTTTACATGATAACTGAGCAGAGCTATAAGAACAGTGAATGTGTCCCATGTCATATCGGCCTCTCGAGAAAGCACCTTCCGGTCATTGTCAGAGCTAATTTCGTAAACGTAGATAAAGAAGGCAACTGCATCTTGCATCTCAGCCAGAAGAAACACGATCAAAATTGCAACTACGAACCTTGTCACGCGCCTGGTGTTCCTATCAGAGGAGTCTCCATGGCAACCGTCTTTGCCAAGGTTCCTCCGTCGTTTTCCAAGTTGAAGGACAAGAAGGACTGTAGTAACAAGGAGCATCAGACAGGGGAGAAGACTACTGAAGAGACCGGTGAATAGGTAGTGCATCCATACCATCCTTTTCATGTCCTGAAAAGTATCAATAACCCAAACCGGAAACTGTTTGATACATCCGGTGGGCAATGTTACATTCTGTAGCGATGAAGCTGGTGTCGACGGTGTGATTTCTAAGGCTAAGAATTGTAGTAGATGTATCAGTATGGAAGCTATGGTGATAAAGAAGCATGTTGTCAGAGACGCTTTAATCGTACATATTTGCTTGGCCTTAAATGGTAGTCGCACTATGATGTAACGTTGTAGGCCAATGGCGGCCGTGATCCAATTGGAAGTCGTTCTCGCGACGCGATAGATATTGGAAAAAATCTGTAATGTTACACACCAATTGTATAAAACATATGTCTTAAAGTTTCCGGTTGGGTAGATGTACAAAAAGTTTGGTAGAAGAGTAGCACATATGACAGAATCAGACACAGCTAAACATATGAGGAGCACAGAAGTAGCTGTCCGCATTCGCTCTTTTATAAACACGGAAACTGTCAGGATATTGCCGAGGATGGTAACGATGGCTAATACAGGATACACGTAACTCTTAAATGGAATCTCTACAGGAATAGGGCGCACCTGGTAGGGAGGCGGTTCGTTATAGTAATAATAGTAGTAATAGTTCTCGTCTACGGTAACATTTCCGCCATCCGCCGAGGAATTAGTCAAATTCATTCCAACTGATGTCATATTTGTTACTTCCATAGTGATGTCTCGAATTCTTTGAATGTAATATTCGTCGATTTTCAGGACGCACGTGAAAAACATCTACATGTTCCAGGTGATACAACTTGCAATGGTATCCGTTCTATAATACCCTTACTGAACATATGAATCCCATGGGACTGCCACCACAAACTGACGAGATTTGAAATAGCGCCAGAATGCTTTTGTAAACATTAAAACCACTTATGACGAAACTAAATCCTTATCACCTTGTTGTGTCGAAAACGAGGTGAAAACTTCACTTAAAGAGCGTAAATATGAGATAATTGCGCATCCGCGAGTTAGCGTGTCCGAGCGATGACCGCCTGTTCAGCGCTAACTTCTGTCCGAGAGGGGTGGAGTATTTGTTTGGTTTGGCGATGGGACATACTCGGGACGTGAAGAGTAAACTGAAGCGTGATAACACCCCGGTAATCCGGGAGGTCAGTAGTCATGACGTACAGATATGTGTTACTGAACCTTACAATTAACTCCTCAATGTCAGATGGAATACATCCGTGGATGTTTGGGCTAATTGTTAAATGATAACTGATTAAAGGAAATATGTGTTGAGAAATGACGTGTGTATATATATAAAAGTATGTATAATGAATGAAGAAATAGCAACAGCGCGGACAAGCAAATTGTCAAATTTTCGAGGCAACTTGCCCCTTACTGTTACTATTACTTCATTAATCATAATATCTATTCCAGTAGTACGCATCCAACGAACATGTGTTTGTTAGGATCCAGTACCAATATTGGTACTTTACTGCTTTTCTTTTTTCTGTTGTGAGCGTAACTGTATTAAATTTACTTTAATAATTTAATTTCTGAACTTAAACATTCGAGTGGAGTTTTGATGATGCGAGGACTTTGAGTAAGATATCATATCATTGATGTTTTCTGGAATAGATACGTAGATAGATAATTTGATAGGTAGACCTTTAATGGAATTTCCAAAACTTCTCTCTTTTTGTGTGTCTTTATTGGTGTTACGGTACATGTTATAACACGTGCCTGACTACCGATGGTGCTCGTTTCCGGTTCCTGTCTAGGAGCATAATGGAATAATTGATATGATGTCGGTGGATCAGTGTTGTGTATGGTTTGCTGACCAACACAAACGTGTCCTATGTATTACCTATTTCTCAAACTAATTAACTGTAGGTACACATTGAACATGGAGTGGGCGCTTCACCAAATTATTACCAATGTAATTTCTTTTCCAATATTTTGACACTTTCGGGGATTGTTATACTTGTACACTTGCCCACATCATGACGGAGAAAGATAGATTATTTCTACACAACGTTTATCTTGACAACACATGAATACTTCTGTGACACGAAGAAAAGTCACTCACAATGTATTTATTGTGTTTGAATTTGTTGTATAATCACGTACCCATCACATTTATCCAAACAGTCAGTGTCTCCCAGTTATTTTTGCTATGTATTTTCTCGTTTATTCGTTGATTAGGAAAATAGATTTTCCGCCTCTTATACGCGTAAACTATGAATGTAACAACTAGCAAAAATATAACTATATATTGTCACAACCTGGGCCTGTTGACTTTACATCTAAAGGTTTAGTTGGTTGTTTACGTGAAAAGAACACGATTTTCTCCCCTCTTTCCACTCCTTGTCAGGTATAACTCGCGCTAAATTGGCTACTAACGGCTCTGACGTCACAAGTGGAAGCAGTCGCCATAGAAGGAGTAGGCGACGTCAGATTGCAAATGAATATTTCAAAGTTTTGAGAAATTGGATACTTCTGACGATAACATGTAGACGGTAGACAGCCTATGAATTTTGTTAGAATTTTCAGACAGTGATCGATTTAAAAATATCGATTATCGACCTAAGAACAAGGGATGTGCCACAAGTTATTACAAATTTACACCTTCTTCCATTAAACATTTACATATGGAAAATACACCATGGAAACATTCCTCTAAAATAATATTACTGTTAAAGTAGAAGCCTGTTTCTAGACTTAATTAAGGACTGCACATGCCTGAAGATTTTCCAATCAAGGTCTATAGGTATATGGTAAGATGAGATTTCCGAACCAAATTGTATCCAAATTGAACACATGCAACTTTCAAAATGGTGAAATTTTATATCAAAATTGGTTTAAAGATGACAGTTAAGTATAGAAAGACGTTGTCAAGGGAAACCAAGCAGGTGACTCAAAAGTCACGAAGCCTGGTAGCATTGTATACAATTTCAGAGCACTGATGTGGAATTTGCCCTAGGCCTATAGCCTGACAGGATTTCAATATTCCAAAGTTATATAACGTGGTACCACATACAGTCCAAAAATAAAGAAAGGTATCAGTGATAAATATTTACAAAACAACTTCAACGTTGGTGTCTGCTGTTAATTAATAATAGGATGTATGACATACTATATACATGTTTATATCTTAATAACAAATTGACGTCATTGTGTATTTCTGATGTTGAGTCTGCAATCAGCTGACTTTATTTACAGTACTTACGTATGTATGAGAGTCTAAATTATAAAACGTACTTAAAAGTAGTATTTCCGTAAGTATAGTTTTCTCTGAAATTGAGATTCCTTTTTTTCCCCAAATACATGCATTATATACCAGTTATGATTTGGTCTTAGTCGTCTTAGGTGTGAGTACAGGTAAATAACACTGAACACACCTGTGTCACGATGTCCAATATACACTTTACTTTACACATTAAAATCCAACAGCTCATTCTTGCATGGATACACTTTATAGTCTTAGTACTGAATGTTTCCATTTTGAGGATCAAACAACTGTTTGTCCGACACTGGGCCAACCCACATCTATGCCTGTACCAACTCAACCATCCTTGATATTCCAGTGGTTACAGGCTTTCGTTCTTATCAACCCTAGAATATATCATGACAAAATAGGTTTCATGTGCAACACAGTGTGAACAAGACGAAAAGACTAGTTTGATCTTTTAATGTACATCAAACGAATCTCGAAGTTGCATACCGATATATTGTAACGACTTTTAAGTTGGGTGGCGCCACTTGGTAATCTTAGAAAGGAGCACAGTAGCCTGTGATTGGTATGTTTTTCTCTCCTGGAACCAATCAAATTACTTAGGTTGTGACTTCAATTTTGCCATAAGATGTTTGAGGGGTGCGGAGAGCGGAAGTGAACGTAATTCCTGGAGTATCGAGGATGGTTCCAGGGGTGCGGAGAGCGGAAGTGATCGTAATCCCTGGAGTATCGAGGATGGTTTCAGGGGTGCGGAGATTGGAAGTGATCGCAATCCCTGGAATATTGATGATTGTTCCAGATGCGGAGAGGGAGAGTGATCGTAACCACTGAGTGTATCGGCGATGGTTCCAGGGGTGGGGAGAGCGGAAGTGATCGTAACACCTAGAGTATCGGCGATGGTTCCAGGGATGCGGAGAGCGGAAGTGATCGTAACATCGAGAGTTTTGGCGATGGTTCCAGGGATGCGGAGAGCGGAAGTGATCGTAACATCGAGAGTTTTGGCGATGGTTCCAGGGATGCGGAGAGCGGAAGTGATCGTAACACCTAGAGTTTTGGCGATGGTTCCAGGGATGCGGAGAGCGGAAGTGATCGTAACACCGAGAGTTTTGGCGATGGTTCCAGGGATGCGGAGAGCGGAAGTGATCGTAACATCGAGAGTTTTGGCGATGGTTCCAGGGATGCGGAGAGCGGAAGTGATCGTAACATCGAGAGTTTTGGCGATGGTTCCAGGGATGCGGAGAGCGGAAGTGATCGTAACATCGAGAGTTTTGGCGATGGTTCCAGGGATGCGGAGAGCGGAAGTGATCGTAACACCTAGAGTTTTGAGGACGAAACTCAACCAGTTATTGTTAACTCTGTTGTTGATTAACATTTCGTGAGTATCCTTTTTCAGGATAAGAAAGGATGAAGACACCCCAATTTCTCTTGCAGAAATTTTCCTCAGGTATGGAGTTTTAGTTGTCATATCGAAAGCAACTTTTGTTTTATTGCTTTATTAAAATATAGGGTATCATGACTTTTTGAGCCCGACCTAGTTCGCACCACGTCGTTTCGTCCCGAACATCACGACGTTTTTCAGCCAGTGTCAAGACTGTTTGCACCCTTTATAATTCTTTATACGTATTAGATACATCATTTTGGTTTGTAGCTGTAAACTGGACCTATTGTTTCATCTTACTTCCTACCCATGTTAAAATCGTTCCAATTTGAGCTTTTGTAAGGGCATGGGTATTGAAGTAACTGGTAAATTAGCATGATCCAGTAGTCCAGGGAACCAATTCTGATTTTGAAAAGACGAAAAATATAAAAAAAAATTTGGAAAGGAAAAATAAGAACAGATCCATGATGTTGCATTTCTTCAAAATACCACATATTTCGGATCCTTTCTGTTCCGGTAAATTTTTATTGAAGAATGTGTAAACATTTTCTTTTGCGTGAAGTTCACTTACGAGTTTTATAAGATGTTTAAGAAACGAACGAGTGCGGGTCGGGAAATCTTGAATTTTCTTATTCACGATATGTTGGAATCAGGAGAATCATTATTAATTTGTCAAACTTGTTCCATGTTTCACACCCGTAATAGGATAGACGGTAACACAACCTTTCTGTACAGACTTAAGATGCGTGAGGGGTTTCTGTTAGTCATTTCCTTCGAGACCAAGAATAGAGAAAGAAGATACTCGTCCTATTTTACAACCCTTTTCTGTCCTTTTTGAACATGACATACTGAGATGTTCAGCAGCATGAAAGTCCTTTGTTTCTGACTCTACTTTGTCAAGTCTCCAATGAAAACTAGTGTTATACATATTTTACACGGCGTGAAGTATGAAAAGGAGATCATTATGATGACTGGCTGGATAAAAGACATTGCTATACTTTTACATATTAATATCATAAACCTTCTCTACTTTTACACATTGATATGAAAAACCTTCTATACTTTTACACATTGATATCATAAACCTTCTATACTTTCACACATTGATATTATAAACCTTGTATACTTTTACACATTGATATCTTAAACCTTCTATACTTTTACACATTGATATGATAAACCTTCTCTACTTTTACACATTGATATGATAAACCTTCTTTACTTTTAACACATTGATATGATAAAACTTCTATACTTTTACACATTAATATGATAAACCTTCTTTACTTTTAACACATTGATATGATAAACCTTCTCTACTTTTACACATTGATATGATAAACCTTCTATACTTTTACACATTGATATGATAAACCTTCTATACTTTTACACATCAATATCATAAGCCTTCTCTACTTTTACACACTGATATCATAAACCTTATATACGTTTGTAGAATTCTTTGGAGAATTTATAATTTAAAAATTGATAGAAATATTGTAATTTTCATAACAAGAAGTATCAATAATATGTATTAGATAAGTAATTAAACTGATATGATGTGATGTATCAACCCCCTCTGTCAATACACACCAGTTTGTCATTAAAGTTACATCATGCTATTTGGGTAGAAGTTTTTCTCACCTGGTAAGGTTAGCGACACAATACTTCCACTACACTAATTGGTGTGAGATGTTCTCCAAGTCTATACCTGTACACTTGTAACCCAGCTTAAATACACTGATCGGTCAGTGTACAGAGATATCACCTGAAGCTTTACCTGTAACAAGGGAGGAGTTAGAAAAAAATAAGTGTTTAAAGTAAATAGAGTGGTATTTCTTTACTCAGAAATGCTGAGATCAAAATGAGAAAAAAAATGCGTCAAGAAATAAAAAATGCTCTTAAACATCGATTGCATATTTACTCCAGGCAAAGGAGTGGGTATTTTTTCATAATCTTAACGTGTTTTTTTCTTAATGACATATAGAATGGAGCATCATAATCTGTATTCCGTGGTTTTATCATAAGATTACATGTTTCGACTAGCTAGGCTAGCCGTCATCAGAACAACGGTAAATATATGTTTGAAACAGAACTTGAAGCAGAACTTATATGTCAACTCTGTCATTGCAACTTATCTATATTGTTGCCATTGTGTTGTCAAGACCACGTGATATAGACAATTCAAAGTGTTATTACGTCACGGCTGAGACGTAAATTTTACTTTAGCTATTCAAATCTTTATAATTAGACGAACATATCTCGGGTTTTGACCATGACGACAAATTTTGAATTGATTAAGGTAAGTATTTGGAACCAATGTTTTTTTAAAAGTTTGAACATGTAAGAGAACCAATTGGACGAATAGAAATTTCAACGGTTTTGACCAATAATTTAGAGTCAATTAACCACACACTGCAACAAATAGCATGGTGGAAGATATTTTAGTTAACATTTAAATCTCAATCATTCAGATGTCAGATTTACGAATGCATTGCATGGTACTGGAAATTTTCATTTAATAAATGAAACATTACCATGGTTTGTACCGTCAGATTCGTGGACAACGAAATCAGATAAAGGAAGAGTGTTTTGAAAATTAAAAACAAAGCAAAAAACTTCGGTAGACTGCAACGTTTTTAGAAGTTTTGAAACAAATAACAAATGCCCTAAACCAAAACAAACTCAGTCTGGCAAAAAACCAGGTCAACGAAAAAGATATAGATCAGAAAAGACAAAAACATATTAGACCAGTAACATGGAAGGCAGTTCAACATGATGAAGAGTAAACACGAGCTAGTTATTATAGCTGTAATAAATGTTTAATGTTCAACAGTAAATGTGTTTTTACTTTTAGTAAACAGTTTCGTCACTTTGTCAGGTGCACTGTTTAGTGTTGATCTGTGCTAACTATTTGTAGAAACAATCATTCCACATTTTATTCCATTTTCATAAAACTGGTACAAAAAGTTTAATTGGGTTGGTTAAGTTATTTATTTTTCTATTTGATTACACTGACTACTTTGTAACTTTGTTTAATGTTGTTCTGTACTTACTATTCCTAAAACATAATATCATATATTTATCGTTTTAATCTCACATTAGGTACATAAATTCACATGATGTTGATTGATTTTTCCCACTGTAGTTATTACATGGTCTAGTATTTTTGTTACTAGTTATTCCCCCTGTAATATGTTTATAACTACTAACTTTATTTATATGTCGTTATATCTATGGTCTATCCCGCTACAAGTGAAGTATCTGCCTGCTGGAATAGAGTGGACAGGAGAAGTGATAAACAATTGGAAGTTATGAATGGTGAATAGATGTCAGGAAAGAATCACAACCATCTATTTGATCAATTATTCAATTTCTTTTTTTCCAAGATTTATTTATATCTAAACATTCAATAGTATATGTTCATATCTATCATTTACATGTTTATTATTTATTGTAAAAACGTCAGTCACTCATCCTTAGGACACCAGTAGGGTGATACAAAAGTTATCAAGTCTGTTTTGATTGTGTATTGATTTGTTATTTGTTTCATCATTTTAAACATACGTTTATTTTTACAAATATCAACGATTTGTGAATTTGCATGCTTTCCATTATTTTTGTTATCATAAGAAACATAGTTATCATTGTCCCATTCTTTAACATAATTATATAGATATTGAGTATAATATATTGTTTTACTTTCATGTTTGTTTGTAAAACACTTCTACTCAGTGTGTGAAGGGGAATAACTCGTATTGTTTTGCTAGTATTATATATGTCGGAGATTTTGAGAGGAGCTTACATTATTGCAAAAATATTCAATAATGAAGCGTTTTGGGAGAATCTGTCTCTAACAGGTTCAGATTAGCACCAGACAAAGTCTGCCAGGTGTGCTTCTGATCATCTGTCAGAAGTCTTGGTACCCGATGGGCTGAGGGCTTTTTCATTGCAAGATCTTTCATAAGAATGGAATGTACTCTGTTCTCTGAAATCTCTCTCTACTGTACTGGCTATATGTCTCTGTAACTCGCCTGTCAGCCATGCCACTACCATGGATTTTATTGACCATTTCTGGGCTTGCAACAGCGACAGGCCTTCCTGGACGGGTGTTATCCCCAAGGCTCTGCCTGCCATGCTTAAATTCTGCCACCCACCTTTTCACTGTAGCATATGAAGGGACATTTTCCCCTAGTGTTGCTACCATATCTGTATGCATATCCTAAGGCTTTACCACTTTTTAGGCTAATGTTGAATTACTGCTTTTTCAGCGATTTTGTCCATTTTTCAATAGTCACCTGCCTTGTTTACTATAGAGAGCTACCTCTTTGTGATAAACTGACCACATGACACTGGTACCCGTCTTTCGGTACACAGCCTTTAATAGTCCGGGGGAAAAGTAGAGCTGGAAAAGGACATCCCTGCTTAATGTCTTCAATACAAGAGTAACAACTTATCAATCAGTCCTTGTATCACAAATAACAACACAGAACCGGACAAGCTGATATAAACAATGTATGAATTTATTCACATCACAGATCTTGGTATGAAAAAACAAATATCACAATAGCTTAATACAACTCACATTGAAATGCATCTTTTCAGTTAACCAATAAAAAGGCAGTGCATGACAATCACTAAAGCTGTTGAAAACAGTTTACACAACCTACCAGTGTTGACATCAAAAATGTCAGAAATTATAGTTTTGATTTGTAGAAAAAATTATAAATGGACTTAAGAAAGTTTACTTCTCAACTTGGCCCTTAAACTGAAGTATTCAGTGCTAAAACTCCAGGGTTGTGGGAGGTCATTATGAGCATGTAAGGTATCAAGCCACTGGCAGTTACTTTTACTAACAACCAGTGTTGTTGCATCTCTTTCAAATACAAATAGATCTGTTCTTTAAACTCCTTCAGCATTTTTGATAGTCAAGGTTTATGACCTGTCTTCTCATTGGCTTGTAAAGATTTTTTTGCTGCTGGTTTGAGAGTATGGAAAGTACATTTGTCATTATAAAAGGTTTGTCAATGTGGTGTATGTTGCAGTTTATTATAAGATATATTTTACATTTCACGACTTATCTGGTCTATCTTCAGATTCAAAGTGCTTGTCTCTTACTGAACATCATGGATGACTTGCTCATTACAATATGTAATTATGGATTGGAAAGTTGTGTCTCCCAATGACTGCTGGTGACAACTCTAAACTGAGACAAGCCTGGAACTTATTATTTATCATTACTGACAGAAGTCTTGTACAAATACAGATTTTCAATCTAATGCCTGGCTTCATGAGGCAACTAATGTGAAGAACTATGGATTATTAATACTTTTCAATATCATATGCTTCCAATGACTTTAATGCATTAAGGGACCCTAAATACAGATGTATGTATATATACTCTTTTCTACACAATAAAGAATAAGGTAGCCTTAGTAATATATACACCTGACATACTAATATATAAAATTTCATAAAACAAAAATATTTTTATTGACACATAAAATAGACACCGATAGTTAAGGTAAATGCATGGATTCCATAAGAAGGCACCAACGTTAACATGGCTATATACATACAATTTGGATTCCAGGCAATAAAGATAAATATAAAACTGATAGATATAACTTGCATCACAAAGACTGTAATGTCAGAAATGATTCAGCCTTTAATATATATGTGCTATATTGCTACAGTTAGTAATTGACTGTTCCATCAAATCGAATAGATATGGATTTGTGACAAATATTTCATTTGATTTCATCAAATCAAAATCTACGTCAAAAAATAAAATCTGACATGCATAAATAATAAAATCTTGCATTCCTATTGAAAAAACGTCATTGTTACAACTTAAAATTGATTGTGTTATCAGTCTCCTGTTTAATTAATAGATTTTCTCAAGTTTGGAGTACTGATTCAAAACCTTCCTCAGGTACACATACTTCATCATAGTAAATTATTGGTATTGCACTTTTGGGAGTGGCAAAAAATATACCAAATAAAAACAAACAAAAAACAAAACATAACAATGACATAGTCATCAAGATCCCCCGCCCATATTGTAAAATATCTACATTTAAAGTGAGCAACATGATAAACCTGAAAAGATATCAGCCAATTAGGTCACAGCAGCCTTATGCTGAATTTGCCAGTAAACTTTATCAAGGAGCTAAGGTAACAAGTCTAGCAAGCAAGTCTCATCATAATTCATCTGGTCCTTATAAAGATAGCGTGTGGAAAACATTCAGTTAAAGTGCCGAAAGATATCAGCCAATCAATTTACAGCAGTCTCATTACATATGCATAGAATTTGCCGATAAATGAACATGAACAAGGAATTACAGTAATAAGTCTACAAAGTAAGTTTCCTGAAAATCTAATCATTCCTTCATAAGATAATGTGAAGAAATATTTCTCATAGCCTGATTAAAGAAATCAGTTAATCAGGTCACAGTAGCCTCATTACATATGTGCAGAATTGGCTGTTAATCCAACTTGGCCAAGGGATTACTGTAACAATTGTACCAATCAAGTTTCATTAAAATCTGACCAGTCCTTCGAAAGTTGGGCAGGGGTATAAATAGAAATAAATAAATAAATAAGTAAATAAATAAATAAATCTGATTTTCAGTCTTAATTGGTTGTGAACCAATTCCAGAATTAATAGCCTAAGAAAAGAAAAGAAATTAAGCTGAAAAATACAAAATCCTGTTTTTTCGATGCTGGTGCATTCTTAAACAATCAGAGGCTCTGTATATCACCTGGGGAAAAAAAGACACTATGTGGCAGAGCTATTCTGACAAAAGACTGGAAACTATTCCAAATCTTCTGGGAAGATTTTCAACAAATCTCTAAGTAAATAAAGGCCCTGCTTGTGAAAATGGCTGTAGTTTCCCGCTGGCCTGGGTTCTTTGTAGTCACGCTGACATTGAACCTTCAGTAAAGAGGTTGGCAAAGCAGCCTTGACTTCAGAATATCATTGGATGTCCAACTGGTCAGAACCATATCTACAAACATTAGATCAGGTAGGATGTCTCATTACCTGCAAATACAAACAAATAAGGTTCAGAACTTCCCTTTTACACTGATCAATCACCCTTAAGATCCCTACCTTTACATGAAACACAGGAGAAACACAATTTGTTAAGAATTTCTCAACAGTTGCTAGAAGAGTTTTTTCATCATAATTACTATTGCAGATATAATTGAAACAAAAGGTAAATGCTTTACAAATTATTTGATTCAGGATTTTAAATGTAACAATTAGGAAATTATCTGATGGAAAAAAGTGTCAAAACGGAATAAACAAAAATTGAAAGGGCACAACTAATGAGTAACGTTAACCTAAATTGCTGTCTGTTGGTAGTTTTGTTTTAATGATTAGTAAAAAAATTGAATAGGCACAACAATGGAATGAAAGAAACCTACATGATGAAAGGGTGATTTGAACAGCTCACCATCTGATATTTGGCTAATAAGATAAAGGTACTTACACACCATAACCAGTACTCCAAAACCTGTTCTCCTTACAGCTCTGCCAGTATGGCTCCAAATCGTCTTTTAGCATCAACATATCGACAAGCCTCTTTGGCAGTGTTTGATTTTCTAGGAATTTGTTCAAGTGAATACCAGTTGCTCTTCGAACAGAATTCCTGCAGATGCGCAGCAATGGCTGTACATTGTCAACGTATTCACTGAGGTGATCAAACAACTCTTTATGTGTTTTACTATTTCTATCATACTCCCTCAATTTTGACCTCAAAAAGTCAATATTATCTTTGCAAATGGTGTGTGCAGTACGTAATAACAACAACTGCATTGGGAATGTGACTATCTGCATGATAATTGGAGGTATAGAGTTTTCATCCTCCGCAATGGAAGTTCTTGCAGATTGTGGACCACCGACATCAACATTAGCAGAAAGCAGACGCAACAACATTGGCAGCTGCATTACTTGCCCATGGACATTGTACATCTTTGTAGCAAATACATCTGCTCCCAGTTCAAGCAGAAGACTAACAAGTGTCCCATTCCTTTTGACTGAAACAGATGCACTTCTCTGATCGGTGGCAAAATTCAAGCATGAGACGCCCACATTGGTGGCGTTTATGTCACATCCAACTTCCTTCAGCCTCATCACAGGTCCAGTCAGATCATAATGCGAGGCCCTTGCCTCCATAAGCAGAGCAAGAAAAGGAGGAATGCTTGTGCTGTCAGTCTGCTCTTTCTGTTTTAATGATGACTTTTCCAAGATATGAACACATTCATCATATTGCATCACTCTAGCCCAGTACAGAGGTGAACATTGTGTATAGAGCGGGAGATGTTTCCATCCTACATACTTGACCAGTATACTCAGAAGGCGAGGTGAGTTTTTAAAAGTTGCCATGTTGAGCAGACACATGTACTTTGGAGAACGTGTAAGTGAAACAGCTTTTGTGGATTCAAGTAGATATTTAAGTGCATCAACGGCATCTGAAAAGGAAATGGAAGAGGATAAATTTTCATCTTCATTACAAAAATAGTTAATGTGAGGAAACTGTGAGAACTTGTGTTCATTAGAACAAGATGCCCATAGGGCCTGTATCGTTCACCTGGTTTACTTTCCTGAAATTTATTTATTTAAACTAAGGAAGAAGTATTTCAATCACTTTTATCTATTTCCCCATAATAGGCTCATCCCTCCTCCAAATGGGGGTTTGATGCACTGTTATTAAAAACTTAAGTTTACTTCATAAGGGATCTTTTCAGTTCTAACATCAGAAGGATATTTTGAAAATTTGCTCTTATTGCCATTATTTGGCCAACCTTTCCCTCCACAGGGGGCATAGACCCATCATTTATACATATTAATTTTTCTTCCCGCAAGGATGCTTCTGACCAAATTTGGGAAAAATCCATACGGCTGTTCATGTCTAGTAGTAACATTTAGGAAAAAATAATGAGCGGTGGCCAAACGCTCCCATATGGCTATAGCTCACTTGGCCCTTTGGGTCAGATGAGCTAAAAAACAATAACTGTGAGGAAGCTGTGAGAACTCATGGTCATTGTCCTCAGTTGATTTGCAGTTATCAATAGTTAGTTATTTTTCTGTCCTCAGACAAACACCTTCTGTATTTTTCTGTATTATTTTACCTATAAGACAATTAAGCTTCACTTTTCCTTAGTAAGTATTATGCCCTTACTAGAATCACAAACAAATCATAGAAGGACGAAACCACTGTATGATGCAGGTGAATTCATCATTTGTCTCTAATATGTCTCATTCAAATTCGGTAAAACAGGTGTTTAATCACTTTGACAAGTAGATAAACCTCTAATTTTAACATGTAAATATGTACAATATATGCCAACACATCATGAGCATAGTTTGAGCCTGTATCCCTCATTTGGCTTTGTTTGGCTGAAATTGCTTTATCCAAACTAAGGGAAATGAATTCTACAGGTTTATATCTATTTTCTATTTGGGCGTCACCGATCTATGCCCATTACACCCATTCCGATAGAAGAAAGATTCTTAAAAATCTGTTATATTTTCTATATTGGACCCATCCTTCAGGTCCCTTTGAGGCTGAGACCAACCATTTATACAAACTTAGTGCACTTTCCGCAAGGATGTTCCAGACCAAATTTGGTTAAAATCCATTCACTTGTTCATGACTAGTAGCAGTAATCTTTAATAAAAAGTTGACAGACTCCGAATACAGTGCCAAGGTATAAGCTCACCAGTCCTTCAGATCAGTTGTGCAAAAAATCTATATAATATCAAAATTTGAAATACAAGAATGAGCCATATATATCAATTCAATGCAACATTTAACTGCTTACACTTTAAATATATACAAGCAAACGTGTTGGAAGGGCATTAGAATCTGATACAATTAGCCCAACACTCAATAGACATTTACTAAGAGATAACTCAATTAAACCCACAATGATATCTTACCACAATAAATGCAAAAGAAAACAATAGTGTTGATGGGGAAGCAAGCATTATCCACCAAAAGCTTCAGGAAATCTCTTTCTGCAGGTTTCACCAATAAATCTTTCAGCAGTTTGAGTGTTCGATCAGACTTGTGTAAATCAAAGATGCAGGGTACATCTCGACATAAGACACTACTGTCTAGTCGTGCATGGTTTCTTTTAATGAGAAACTCTGCACATTCCATAGATCGGTTTTCCAGAGAAACAAGCAATGCTCTAGAGTTCAGACCTCCACCAGAAGTTTTATACTTCAGTAAGTGCTGTAAAGCATTTGCATCATTCATATGAGCAGCTAAGGTTGATGGAGTAATGTTCCCACGGCCAAAATGTCTATCCATGTTGCAAGCCATTCTTGGAAATTTTTTCCTAAGAATATCAATGGCTTTGTACTGTCTATGCAATACAGCGACATGAAATGGAGAAACACTATGGTAATCAGATTCGAAGTGAAAACATAAACTGCCAAATGGAGTCACCCTGTCTGACAAAATCTCACGAAGAAGTTTATGCTTTCCAAGAGCTGTTGCTACATGAATAACAGTAATGCTGGCAGTACACGAATAGGGGATAAGACTCTTAAGCATGCATGACTGCACAGATCGTTCACTGGATTCAGTCAGGTACTGGTTCATGTCAACTTCAGCAGAATGTTTATGCTTTTTATACAACCGTGTCACCATTCCATACAAGCTGTCTTTGGCTGCCAGTTTGTCTGTTGCTTCTGAGGGTAACTGCGTTCCATCATAGTTCTGGAGGATGGACATAACATGTGGACAAACACCCAGAAGCAAAGATGAATGAAACTCCTCTAATACATCTTCAGTTGTCTGACCATCACAACCTTGTAAAGTCTCAAGATATCGAGAACATTTACACTCAGGCTTATCATTCACATTCAATTGACCCAAGCAAGCTGAAATCATAAGATATAAGTCAAATAAAATGCACAGAACTAATTCACATCAGGAGACAAAGAAGTTATCGATAGTTAACATTTAGAGAAAAGGATATTATTAATATCTCTCATTCAGAGAAACAGATATTATCAATATTTCATATCCAGAGAAACAGATATTATCAATATTTCATATCCAGAGAAACAGATATTATCAATACATTTTGTATTTCAAGTCCAGAGAAATATTGTTTCCCCAACAAGTGATGGTTCTTCATCATGTTTATCTCCCACAAATTAGTTAATTTTCAAATTTAGAAAAGACACAAGCTTTAGCGAGTGTGTTCTTCAAGATTGAATATTAACAAATGACAGTTAGATAAACATGATAAATAACCATCACAAGTTCGGGAACTTGTTTATCCTATAACTATTTAAAGCTAAAAATGTACCAAGTTCAAATTATCCCGAATTCTAAATTCTGTGATTAGCATAACTAAAGGACAAAGTATTTTAATTTGTAATGAAGGAACAACAAAAACATAGTAATTTACACATGACTTACTGAGTGATATTTTCTGTGACACAAGTTCTTGGTTCTTTTGGATCAACTTGATTATTTTCTTCTCAGGATTGTTCAAAAGGATTTGGAGCCAGGCTGCTCCAGCAGCCAAACTATCTGCTTCTGAAATTAAAAATGTGAAATATTGTGAAAAAATGTTACAAGTTTGTTCTGAATTCATTGCTACATTTCCTTATTTAACAACTGAACTGATATGTGATCTCTCAGAGTGGCTGACGTGGTATGTTATGCAGTGGTTGGGGATGAGGGTGCACCAGGCTAATATGACTGAAGTTGGAGGCAGATAAAAAGGACTTCCTAGGTTTTCTTGCAAGTTGATGTGGGAAAGCTCGAACCTAAGCAGGCCTATATCAAAATCCAGGGGAAAAAGCTTCATTTAACTGAAGTAACAGAATGGAAGGCAAAGAATGGATGATCTCTATAAACAGGCTCTACAGTAGTAACATAATGGATGCTTTCTATAGACAGGTTTTTCCTGTGGTAACAGAATGAATAATCTCTGTAGGCAGGTTTTCTGTAGTAACATAATGGATGATCTCTATAAACACATTCTTCTGTAGTAACATAATATATGATCTCTACAGACAAGTTTTATGGAGAATAATGGATGATCTCTCAAGACAGCTTCTATTGTAGAAACAATAGACAGGTTCTACAGTAGTGACAAAATGGGTGGTCCCTCATTACAGGTTCTAATGTAGTGAAAGAATAGATGGTCTCTAGCGACTGGTTCTACTGTTGTAAGACAAGTAATAAAAAATGGATGATCTTTATATAGACACGTTTTATTGATGATCTCTCAGGACAGGTTCTATTGTATCAACAGTAATAGGATGGATGAGATCTCTATAGACAGGTTCTAATACATGCAGCAACAGAATGGATGGTCTGTAAGGACAGGTTCATCTGAAGTAACAAAATGGTGGTCTCTCTGAACAGGTTCTACTGTAATAATAGAATGATAGTTTCTTTGAGTCTAAATAGGTTCTCCTTTATCCTATTGCGTTGTGACATGGAATGATGTACAGTAGCTATAGGCTTCGTAATGATTAACAGCTTAAACAGATTAGGTTTTTTCTACTGAAATAAATAATGATTAGTATAAATCAGTTTACATAGTTAATCAATAACTAATACTGCAACTTGAAAAGGAATGTGTCAGCAGTATTCCTTACCATGTCCCATAGCGTGTTTATCCATTTTCGTCGCTGGGATGATGTGATCTACGCGACGTCATTTTTGCAACACAATCTGAAAGTAGTTCTCAGGAAGAGGCGCAAGATTTATGCCATTTTTACACTGTTTGCATTTATTTCTTAAGGTAGATTGACCACCATATATAACGTAGATGTTCATTGTCATAAAGAGGAGGTGTATGCGTGTTATTACAATTTCTACACCTTCATTATTTTGATATGATAGGGACTATGTTTTGTTTGTGAACTGAAAGTAGAATGGCAAAAAATCTAAATATAGACGAATCTACTTTCATTGTGTATAGCTTGCTGTTAGAACATGTTGTGAATGGTTGTCATCGTAAATTTATTGATGAGAACTTCAGCTGTATTAGTAAATTTATGCTGAAAACGATAGTACATGCCTAACTTGCGTCTTTATTAACGGTAAGGAAATTGCAAAAGCGGATGTTGATAGTCGACTCATTTCCGTGCGGTGACGGTGTGGTGGCACTGCTTGTATCTGTTGTAATGGTACATTTGGAAGGTTTGGAAACAGATCCTATAAAGTTGGTTGATTTTTAACTTTGAGAGGCGTGCATGTAATAACAAGGCGGCTGGTCAGATATTGCCTTCATACTCAGGCATTGCTAGCTAGTCCTACATCGTAATACAATATTTACATTTGTATGTACATTTACTTATAAATATGTGGAAAATTAGGTCGTCTTACTAGCCTCTGCTAGAGGCAATTTTCCTTTACTCGAGCGGTAGATTGTCCGGCTAGAGACGAAAGGGTCGCTATTTCGAACCCCAGCAGTGACAGGGTGTTTTTCCTATAACAGATTTAGTACTATAGACCACTCCAAGTGTAAAACTAAAGGAAATTGATACACCTTCTTTGGAGATATCAGACCAATGCTGTAGTGTTCAGAGTCAAAGACTTTGTGAAGTAGGGAGTAGTGTAGAAGTTCAGAGTATAGGTCACCTTACTAGACTTAGCTTGAGGGAATTTTCCTCTAGTCGAGTGGTAGAGTGTCTAACCTGGGACCGAATAGTTGCTACTTCATACCCCAGCGATGACAGGGTGCTTTTCGTTACTCCTTCTAAATGTAGCCATTACCAGGGACACAAAAATGACACATTAATCTAGTATTTCAAAGATCTTATTACAATTTTTATATTGGTACATTTTGATATGTCCTTGTCTGCATGTCTGCGTTATATACTGTGTAGAAAAGTAGAAGGTACAAATTATGTATGCATTTAGTGTACAACCGGCACTGCCATTGTCAAAATACACCTGCCACATATATTTTTGTTGTATTCGGCAGTGACGGAAAACATCTGTATTTGAACATGTTTATGAATTTGACAGAATTAATTTGTGAATTTGTTTAAAAATTTAAGTTTAACATTATAGATGATCATTGAAATGACTGATTTGATATGTTATAATGAACAAGTTTACTTACGAAAATGCATAAAGTCATTGTCATATCTATTGAAGTTTGGAACTATATTTCTGCATGGAGCAACAATTTTGGTGTAAGTCTTAAGGAAAAATCAGCATAACGTCAGCATCAGATAAATCAGTTTCGCAACATAAATAGATGACATAGTCATGCCTTAAAATATAAGCTGCAGGTTGGCTCATGACAGAAAGACAAAAGTGGCTTATAAGACACTGCATTCTCTACATACCAGGATAGATAGTCAGTACCCTGTGTTAAGGCACAGTAATTATTAGGAAGGAGAGCTTGAGCCAAATTAATGTATTATAAGCAAAGATTACACAGTAAACCTATATTTCAGATTGATTGGATGAAAGTAAGTCGTCATGGAGCATGTTGTTATAAAACACAAACGAACAACTCTTGAAAGGGCGGAGAAGTTTATATCAGTGCATCATTTTACTGATGTCAATCTCAGGAGCAGGTACAGTAAACACTCCTTCTGTGTATAATCCTGCCACCTTGTAATCAGAACTGTCACACTACATCTATATGTATACATATGTGGCTAGTATTTCAGTTTTGATGCAATAATGTATTTCTTTTAATCATAAAACAAGTGGATATTTTTTGCTATGCAGTACAGTTTATTTTTTAAGATGACAATATAAATGCACATGTAAGATTATATGGTGTCCTGAAGAAGCCAGAGAGGGCGAAGACAACAATAGATTTAAGAACAATACCTCTTCGCCTGTTGTGATTTGCTTCCTCATTTTAATAAGATTATACAAGAAACAGTTACAACCCAATGTTTTATTTTGTAGACTGTATCCTAAAAAAGCGAGTTTGACATCTATTTCCCACTTTGAGGCTCCAGGACGAATCCCTGTAGAGGAAGCTTTAGCAGGAACTTATAAGGAAGCAAAGGTTGGACAGTCATTTGGGCCAACGTATGTATCATTTATTTTACCTTCAAAACAAGAGAGACATGTAACCTCCCATAAATTGCTTTTTTTATAAAATTTTATTTAGGTTACCCTGTTTGTAAATTAGAGTCGGATAGGAGGAGGATTCAGTTTGAAATAAGTTCATTGTAGTGGTACATTTGTTCTTTTTATGCAGAATAAATAGAATTATTTTTATACTTATATATAATGTCATCTGTTTGTTTTCGGATGAATGGTACAGGCCGTCAATAGCTCATTTGGTAAAGCATTGGTGTACACAGCCTCTGGTGAAGATCTGAGGTGTGTGGTTTAATGCTCCATACCTGTTACGGTTTGTGTTCTTCAGGAAGCTGAGAAACAGACCAATATGTGATGTCATGGTTGTGTCCATAGACAAGAAATTTTATTTTCATGCTCTTCCTTTGGAGAACATATAGTTGCTACTTTGTCTGTCAGGATTCCTGTATGGGGCAGCCACCATCCATGCAGCTATTACAATGAGACCTTCCTGAAAATGTCACTGGCTGTTGTAGGGGAAATATACCCTGTAGACAAACAAACAGATAAACAATAAAAGTATTTCTTTATTGTTTACATACATGTAATGCTCAACAGCTGCACTGTAGTATGACTGTACCTATCAGACTCGTTAAAATGTGTTTATCAGATGTACAAATTGTATATTTGGGGGTACAGTGTTGGTATCTAGAGATTTACACATTTTACACAAATTTCTATTGACAAGAGATTTCTGTTATGCTGATTTCAGCTGGTCCACACACTGGTTCTGTTTGGACATTGCAGTACCAGAAGATTGGGTAGGACAAGAAGTGTGTCTCCTGTGGAATTCTAACTCCGAGGCACTTGTGTGGAGGGATAGCACACCTGTACAAGTAAGTAAACTGACCTTCAGCTAGGTTTACTTACTGAAGCATTCCTATGGAGGAACAACACACCTGTAAAAGTAGGTCAACTGACCATAAGCAAGCTTTACTGAGGCAATTACAGTGAGGGACATCACACCTGTGCAGGTAGGTCAATTGACCATTAGATAGGTCTGTTGCTAAGACACTTGTTAAGAGGTATAATACAACTTTACAGGTAGGTAAACTGGCCACCAGCTAAGACACATTTGCTAAGACACTTGTTTGGAGGGAATTTTTAATTCTGTCACTAACATAAGATGTCTTATTGTCTAATTTTCATGATTTTGTTAATTTAATTCTATGTTCTGACAATTTCTATTATGTGTGATGATAATTTACAAAAAATAAGAAACACACAGAAAATGAAATGAGTTTTTATAAAAACATTATAACTAAAAAAGTCAAAGATCAATACTGAAAATTAGCTGCATGGCTTTTGTCTGGAGAGAATACAGCACATCAGTTCTGAAACAGAGGTTACACAATGGAATGACTTTTGTCTGGAGAGAATACAGCACATCAGTTCTGAAACAGAGGTTACACAATGGAATGACTTTTGTCTGGAGAGAATACAGCACATCAATTCTGAAATAGAGGTTACACAATTGAATGACTTTTGTCTGGAGAGAATACAGCACACCAGTTCTGAAATAGAGGTTACACAATTGAATGACTTTTGTCTAAAAGGAGTACAGCAGACCAGTTCTGAAAAAGTTTGAAGTTATAGAACCAAATGTAATCATAATAGATACAGAAAATGATATCTAAAACCTATAACTATATTGTTTGTACAGGGTTTGAGTGGAGAACATCAGAGACATTCCTTCCCTCTGGCTAATGGTCCAATATGGAAGAACCAATGCAGGTATGTAGTAGAGTGTTATTTCTGTATACCAACTGTATCAGTCATTACCTTATCAAATCGTCTGTACACATGTGGTACAACCAGTCTTCAATGCTGTCTGCTGTTTGAAAATTAGACTGAAATTATTATCCACACAAGGGCACAAGGGCTCAGCATCGATTCCATGCTAACATACCTTCGAGTTTGGAATCCATGACAAGCCCCTGTGCTTCAAGGTGATAAAATATATGCAATATTGTTTCTAGGATATGTTGTTAAGAGAGTTTGTAAATTTTTTTTATGAATATTTTGTGAGAAGTCTGTATAATTCCATGTCTATAACTAGTTTTTCTCTCTCCTCTTGGGACAGATGTTGGTAAAGACATGCTCAGTGGTGTAACACCATATACTATTGTTGTATGTTCTCAGTGGTATAACACCATATTGTTGTATGTTCTCAGTGGTATAACACCATATTGTTGTATGTTGTCAGTGGTATAACACCATATTGTTGTATGTTGTCAGTGGTATAACACCATATTGTTGTATGTTGTCAGTGGTATAACATCATATTGTTGTATGTTCTCAGTGGTATAACACCATATTGTTGTATGTTCTCAGTGGTATAACACCATATTGTTGTATGTTCTCAGTGGTATAACACCATATTGTTGTATGTTGTCAGTGGTATAACACCATATTGTTGTATGTTGTCAGTGGTATAACACCATATTGTTGTATGTTCTCAGTGGTATAACACCATATTGTTGTATGTTGTCAGTGGTATAACACCATATTGTTGTATGTTCTCAGTGGTATAACACCATATTGTTGTATGTTGTCAGTGGTATAACACCATATTGTTGTATGTTCTCAGACAGAAAATCTACGTAGAGATGGCATGCAATGGCTTGTTTGGAGCTGGAGATAATGGCATGATTGAACGTCCAGACCCAGATCGCTATTTTACCTTGGCTCAGGCAGAGATAGCCATATTTGATCGCAGAATCTACAACCTTATTTTAGATGTGGAGATGTTACACGACATGGCTAAGGTTTGATCATCAGAATTAAGACCTTATAAACAAAATATTTAGACCATCAGTTCCTTGAAGGAGGTAGATGTTTATTCATGAAAAATGACTTCAAAGTTTCAGTGTAAGAAACACAATCATGTGTTGTATTGATTCTGTTAGCAGTTGTTATTGACAGTTCACTGCTTGTGAAGATTTTTAATTGATGATTTATTAATAGAGACATAAGGGATTATATAATGTACTTCAATAAATGTTTGCTTTTTTTATTTTTTTTTTCTCAGCACTTACCAGATAATACAGAAAGAGGTTACCAGGCTCTGTATACTGTAAACAAACTCATCAACACTTGTAATGTGGAGGATCCTTCTACCTACCACAAGTTAGTTGTCCCTTAAGTACCTCATGATAGACTTGGGTATTACATGATCAGTTAGAAAGTGTTATAATATTTGGTTATCATACCCTGTAGTCTCCTAACAAATTCTTAATAAAGAGTATATATGGAAATACACATACAAATATAATACACTTATATCTGTAGTGTAAATTATTCGTAATGAAATTTTGATTATCAAACTGTTTGTATCTTAATTTTGTCTGTGTTAATTATTTCTTTATTCAAGAGCCCATGCCATCGCTGAAGAGTTTTTTAAACAAGGCAATGGAGCAAGTCAGCACACTCTCCATGCAATGGGACATGCTCATATAGACACAGGTATACAACTCACACACTCCATATTATTGGACATGCAAGGATAAACATACTTAAATTGTCAACGAGAATGGCTGTCATCTGGAAATATTGTCCGCACAACACCTCCCTAACTTATGGACTGATTTCATTTAATCTATATAGGAATGTTAGTGACTGTAGATGTACATGCAGGTTTCATTTTTCAATTTTTTGCAGAAATTATAGTTTCCATGATAACCTAGTTACTACACACAGGTTTTGTATAATGGTCCATAGCACATCAGTCCTTAGATAACTTTTAATGAAACTTGGTCAAATAGTGTAGCTCATACACATCATTTGTTTCCAGAACCATTACTATGGAAACACATTTGATGCTTCTGACTCGAAAATATTGTGACCATAGTGTACATAGGATTATAGTACAGCAGAAAATGTTGGTTGATTCCATACCATCTCGTACACTAGGTACGTCAGTGCTAGTACACTCCATACTGGTCATTTGTCGGAAGAAGGTGACTGTGTACTCATCAAAATATCACGCCCAAATCTTTTACTGGTTGTGTAGAACTTCTATTCTGCAATAGTACTATTTTCCAAAATGTTCATTATCCCTTGCTTGCCATGGTAACCAAGCGAAGACCAACGACAGGGAAAGTCTTTTCCAAACTGCTACTCTTAACATTATCAGTTGTCAACTTAATTCAGAGAAACTACGTTTTTTTTATACATATGAATATTGGGAATTATATATAGATGTGCTTGCATTTTCATACCCCTTATCAGTGGATTTTATTAAAAAATTGCATATGGATAATTGGAAAACAATTGACATATAAACTCATATGTGGAGGCAGGAGTATAAGTTATCTTCAGGATGATAGTTTTAATTCTGTTATTATCATCAGCAAAATTTCCATCTATATGTGGCGTGGGTATAAGTTATCTTCAGGATAATGGTTTTAATTCTGTTATTATCCTCTGCAAAATTTTCTTATATCTTTTATATTTCTACAACAATTATAAGCTTGGCTGAATGTACAGTTTAATCATTTTTAGCATGGCTTTGGCCATATGATGAGACGATACGGAAGTGTGCAAGGAGCTGGTCATGTACCTTACAGCTGATGGAACAGTATCCAGATTTCACCTTTACGTGTTCCCAAGTACGTATTGAACACAAAAAACTCTACATGTTCCCAAGTATATATTGAACGCAAAAACCTTTACACATTTCCAAGTACATATTGAACACCAAACCTTTACACGTTCCCAAGTACCTATTGAACACAAAACCTTTACATGTTCCCAAGAATGAATTTACACCAAAACCATTATCTATCCCCACGTATCTTTTGATGACCAACAGTTTTACATGTTTCATTGTTCATTCCTAAACTGTGAACCAATTGAGGCATGTATTTTCATTCTATTTTTCTAAAGGCTCAACAGTTTGAGTGGGTGAAGCAGCACTACCCAGTGATGTATGATAAGATCAAGTCTTTTGTACAGAGAGGTAGATTTATACCTGTTGGTGGCACATGGGTAGAAATGGTAAGTACATGATCCAGACCCAGGGGCCCATACATAACAAAAATGTACAATGTTGGTATACTGGACCAGCAGATTAATCACAAATAGAGGACAGAGCAAAGTGTGCTTTCTTACTCATCTGTGTACCAGGTATATTGAGGATGTCCCAAAGCTGACAATGCAAGGGTATTAAAAGGTCACTTGAACATGATGACCTCTGATTGAAGGTTATATCAGATCCTTTATATCTTATCTAGAGGAATTGAGAGGATCGGACTAAGAGCAGGTGAAACAGGCTGAGAAAAAATGTATGATATTCAGGATGGACCAGACATTCAATAATACATAAATTTTTGTTGGTGTGTCATTAAATATCTTAACATAAATACACCTGTGCATTAAACATAGGTTTACCTGTACATTTAACATAAATATACCTCTACGTTTACATCAATAGAGATGCAGTGTTGTATAAATATATTTGTTAAATACTGCAGATACACCACAGATTTAATTATTGACGAATGAAGTTTTATTTTGATAATTCATTATATTGGAGACAGTGCTATGAATTGTAATGTTTGGAAATGTTTTTAAGTGACTAACTTTGTCTTCTCCCGCTGCACAGGATGGAAACCTTCCAAGTGGGGAGTCTTTTGTGAGACAATTCCTGTATGGGCAGCTGTTCTTTCAAAAAGAGTTTGACAAGACTTGTTCAGAGGTAGTGAGGCTTTATTAGTGACTGATTTAAAATTTTACTTTAAGATACAACTTGATCTCCATGCTTTAGTAATTGTTCAATACCTGACCTACTTGCAGTTCTTTTTGTTTTCAGTTGTGTAATAAAAAGATTTTTTCTTAAGTGTTGTTCTGAAAATACTTTAAAAAATACAAACCAGTCATGATTATCATGATATATCTGTACTGTTTACATTGTACTCATTCCAGTTCTGGCTGCCTGATACATTTGGATACTCCGCTCAGCTTCCCCAGATCATGAACATCTGTAACATCAAACGCTTTCTTACTCAGAAGCTCAGTTGGAGCCTTGTCAATAAGTTTCCTGTAAGTATACAAATATAAATATATGTATATATATATTAATATGGTCCTTTAATAGGAAGTAGCTTTTTAAAAGTTGGAATATAATTTTTGTTTACAAAGTTACAATCGTATACATCCATAATTTTCATTTACAGAAAAAATTCCAATATTTGTTTTTTTAAACATGGGTACATATAGTTGTACAATTCATGGTTATATTGTGATTTTACAATGTATGGTAAATTTTCTGTGGAAAATGCTCCCTAACAAATTTTGTGGATTTATGATAACTTGGATGTGTGTTATCAGTTGGTAATACATTTCAGCACCACACGTTTTGGTGGCAGGGTATTGACGGCAGTAAAGTCCTCTCACATTTTCCACCCGGCGACTCATATGAGATGAAAGGCAATGTCAAAGAGGTAGCATCCTTTAACAACCTATAAGATGGTGTTATGATTTTGGAGCTAGATATATATTGTGTAAATTGGTATCTTCATAATACTATTGACCTGTCAACCAAAAGTGACAGTATTTTTACAAACTAACTGATTAATTGATTTATGTAGCTGTAGAAGTACAAAACTTGAAGAACGATTACTATTCAAGGAAATAACCAATTGTAGTCAGGTTTAAAATTTTATAGGTATGATAAACAATTTAAATATTCTTTGACCTGATTGAGAAGATATGAAACTTTGTATTGAGTCAGTTATGAAAGTTAATTTGTGTTATTTGAATTTTAATTAAATATTGATGAATGTCTGTAATGTTGGTATATTCAGGTTCTCTTTACTCTGTCTAACTACCAAGACAAGGGGCGGTCTGGTCACAGCATGTATCTGTTTGGATATGGTGATGGTGGCAATGGCCCCTCGTAAGTCCTTATTTTGTCACGATTTGATTCAGTTATAGTTTTATAAGTTTATTATACAATGAATTGTAATAATTCAGTATAGTACGAGACAGAGAAAAACTGAAATGGTTTGCAGGTTTCATGCTTTGATTACCTTGGTACGTGTATTCCAAAATCAATATCGATCAGATCATCTAAACCAAATAAAGTAAGAATATTAATATCACATATACATGTAAATTTAATTGATGATAATTTAACAAAAGTTTGCATGCATACAAGATACTTGTTAAATTTGTCAGGGAGGACATGTTACAGAGACTCCGTAGGATAGAGGATACAGATGGTCTCCCAAGGTAGGTAACTCTGTCTTCAGTGTGTTTTTATCCTCCCACAATAGTGTTATCTCAACAAGCATAGATCTCCATCCAACATACTTTTAATTCTTTTTGTCATAAAAGATTGTAAGTCAGATGATATGATTCATCATCGGTTGGAAAAGTTTACGGAAATATGTTCTCACAACTGCTAAGATGATATCTTGATAGTATAAAATAAAATAGATTCTCTCAAGAGCGTCTATAAAAACTTCAGTTTCATCATCACATCACACTATTTTTGACCTTATTGTACATAGGATTATAGTACAGGCAAAAAAGTTGGTCAATTTCTTACTAATACACTTCACACTGGTCATCTGTCTGACCAAAAAAGTTGGTCAATTTCTTACTAATTCACTTCACACTGGTTTATCTGTCTGACCAAAAAAGTTGGTCAATTTCTTACTAATTCACTTCACACTGGTCATCTGTCTGACCAAAAAAGCTGTCAGTTTCTTACTAATTCACTTCACACTGGTTTATCTGTCTGATGAAGGTGGCTAGTTAGGCACAGAAACATCATAATTAAGTCCTACTAATTGTGTTATAAAAACTTCTTTCCAAGCTGAAAAAATGTTCCTAAATGATATACAAATTATTCACCTCATACAATCATGTAGTGGGATAATTAAAGATATGAAAAGGAGGCTGAACTTTGATGTAACTACTTATTGTTTTAATTTGATTTGAGATATTATTGCTATTGACAGATGTCTAAAGATAAAATCATTTTTATTTGTTTTGGTGGGTAACACTTTACTTTTATTTACAAGTCTGATGCTTTTCTGTTTATTATAAATATTAACAAGATGTCGTGTGTTCCTTGCATGTGATATTGAATTAATTGTTCCTTGACAGAGTTAAGATGAGCACTCCTGACGAATATTTCTCCACTGTGGAGAAGAATGATGGTGACAAGTTATGTAAATGGAAAGGAGAGCTATACTTGGAACTTCACAATGGCACATACACTTCTCAAGCAAAGGTAATGGTTTAAATTAACACTGTAACATAACAAAATAAATGTTTATCTGAATTAATTATATTTCTATATTACTACTTTGAGATTAGGATTCAGTCAATCAATATTCCTTATAATGTTTTTCCACTTCTACAATGGGTAACCACCTCGCCTGTTCTAAATATAAATAAGCAACAAGCTGTGTTCACTGATAAAAATGTGGGGTTTTAAACAAACAATGCATCAAAGATATAACAAAATCAGGCTCACATATTTATGGATGGACGAGAAAATTTATCATCAATAATTATCAAAATTGTTTAATGTTAATATTTAAAAGCAATTTTTTATCAAAATTTCCAACAAATATTTGAACACGGTTTTCTTTAATAAGTATTTTTTTGAGTGAATGTAATTTATCATTTTTAGATAAAAGAACTCAATCGTAGATGTGAGATTTTGCTCCATGATGTTGAGTTAATGAGTTGTCTAGCACTGACTACCGGACTTCCCAGTGTGTATGACTACCCGGCAGATGAAATCCTCAGACTCTGGAAACTGTTACTACTGAATCAGTTTCACGATGTACTTCCTGGGTCGTCTATAGAACTGGTATAGCTAAAATACATAGAATCAGTGTATTTCATAGTATAATAATATCAAGTGAAGAATGGTAGTGTGGTCGTATTATACCTAAACAGAGGTTAAAGTAGGACTAAACAACAACATAATGTAAACATTCAGGATGTAACATGGGTATAATTCTGTTGTAATATGAAAACTCTATTTATTTATTTATTTATTTATTTATTTATTTATTTATTTTTGCGAGCTGAATTTATTTAAACGGCTAAGATATAAATGTGTCCTTCCTTGTGATATCAATAGCACTAGCATCTTTCAAGTTCCTTAATATTTAAACATTTCTGATAATGTTAATTCTTTGTTTTTCTTTCAGGTTTACAAAGATGCAAATAACCATTATAAAGGTAAGTACCCCAGTCATCCTGTTCATAGCCCCAATGACTTATATTTCTGGTAAGTTTATGCAGAAGATATATTTAGTATTTAATGTTGATCGGAAATTCTCTGGGCTCTTGACATTAGACTTGTAGCTTGCTGTGGTGCTGTGGTGTTGAACGGGATCTAACAAAGGATGAAGAATTATGATCAAGGTCAAGTGTTGAAATTATTGAACAAATTATTCTTTTTACAAGAACCTGGGGTCTAGAGTAGTGTTTAATATTTCACCACAGTACGGCCAGTCTTTGACCTTCAAATTTTGTTCAAATAAATTTACCCACATTTGCTTTAAAGTATTTAAACATCAACAATGTGTAGATATAGATTTAGGAATAACTGTCTATATGATTATTTCAGATATATTGAAGTCTGGAAAATCACTATGGAACAATGCTTTTGGCCATCTAACTGCTGGTCAGTCTGACTCTCGTCCAGTAGTGGTCAACACCCTTAGCTGGGAACGGTCAGATGTGGTCATTGTGCCTGGAGAGGAAAAAGAAAGCAAGGAAACAGCAGAAAGATCTTCCAAGAAATTGAAATTAGACAATGAACTTCTACAGTTAGATGTCTACAGTAACAACCTTGGTGAGTATAGAATTGAGATTTGTCAAAAAGAATCAATAGTAAAAAATATGTTGTGTACTTAAACTCCAACAAATACTACATCTCCATAAAGATCCTGTGTGTTTACAGTCATCTGTCAATAAGATTTTGTATGTATAACAAACATCTGTCAATAAGATTTTGTCTGTATAACAAACACCTCTCATTAAGATCTTATTTGTATAACAAACATCTGTCAATAAGATTTTGTCTGTATAACAAACATCTGTCAATAAGATCTTGTCTGTATAACAAACATCTGTCAATATCTTGTCTGTATAACAAACATCTCTCATTTAGATCTTGTCTGTATAACAAACATCTCTCATTAAGATCTTGTCTGTATAACAAACATCTGTCATTGAGATCTTGTCTGTATAACAAACATCTCTCATTGAGATCTTGTCTGTATAACAAACATCTCTCATTAAGATCTTGTCTGTATAACAAACATCTCTCATTGAGATCTTGTCTGTATAACAAACATCTCTCATTAAGATCTTGTCTGTATAACAAACATCTCTCATTGAGATCTTGTCTGTATAACAAACATCTCTCATTAAGATCTTGTCTGTATAACAAACATCTCTCATTAAGATCTTGTCTGTATAACAAACATCTGTCAATAAGATCTTGTCTGTATAACAAACATCTCTCATTGAGATCTTGTCTGTATAACAAACATCTCTCATTAAGATCTTGTCTGTATAACAAACATCTCTCATTAAGATCTTGTCTGTATAACAAACATCTCACATTGAGATCTTGTCTGTATAACAAACATCTCTCATTAAGATCTTGTCTGTATAACAAACATCTCTCATTAAGATCTTGTATGTATAACAAACATCTCTCATTAAGATCTTGTCTGTATAACAAACATCTCTCATTAAGATTTTGTCTGTATAACAAACATCTGTCAATAAGATTTTGTCTGTATAACAAACATCTCTCATTAAGATCTTGTCTGTATAACAAACATCTCTCATTAAGATTTTGTCTGTATAACAAACATCTGTCATTAAGATCTTGTCTGTATAACAAATATTTCTCATTAAGATCTTGTCTGTATAAGAAAACATCTCTCATAAGATTTTGTCTGTATAAAATATCTTTCATGAAGATCTTGTCTGTATAAGAAATATCTTTCATTAAGATCTTGTCTGTATAAGAAATATCTTTCATTAAGATCTTGTCTGTATAACAAACATCTCTCAATAAGACCTTGTCTGTATAAGAAATATCTGTCATTAAGATCTTGTCTGTATAACAAACACCTCTCATTAAGCTCTTGTCTATACAACAAACATCTCTCAATAAGATCTTGTCTGTATAACAAACACCTCTCATTAAGACCTTGTCTGTATAACAAACACCTCTCATTAAGATCTTGTCTGTATAACAAACATCTGTCATTAAGATCTTGTCTGTATAAGAAATATTTGTCATTAAGATCTTGTCTGTATAACATACATCTCACATTAAGATCTTGTCTGTATAAGAAATATCTGTCATTAAGATCTTGTCTGTATAACAAACACCTCTCATTAAGATCTTGTCTGTATAACATACATCTGTCATTAAGATCTTGTCTGTATAACATACATCTGTCATTAAGATCTTGTCTGTATAACAAACACCTCTCATTAAGCTCTTGTCTATACAACAAACATCTCTCATTAAGCTCTTGTCTATACAACAAACATCTCTCAATAAGATCTTGTCTGTATAACAAACACCTCTCATTAAGCTCTTGTCTATACAACAAACATCTCTCATTAAGCTCTTGTCTATACAACAAACATCTCTCAATAAGACCTTGTCTGTATAAGAAATATCTGTCATTAAGATCTTGTCTGTATAACAAACACCTCTCATTAAGATCTTGTCTGTATAACAAACATCTCTCATTAAGATCTTGTCTGTATAACAAACATCTCACATTAAGATCTTGTCTGTATAACAAACACCTCTCATTAAGATCTTGTCTGTATAACAAACATCTCTCATTAAGATCTTGTCTGTATAACAAACACCTCTCATTAAGATCTTGTCTGTATAACAAACACCTCTCATTAAGATCTTGTCTGTATAACATACACCTCTCATTAAGACCTTGTCTGTATAACACACACCTCTCATTAAGATCTTGTCTGTATAACACACACCTCTCATTAAGATCTTGTCTGTATAACAAACATCTCTCATTAAGCTCTTGTCTGTATAACACACACCTCTCATTAAGATCTTGTCTGTATAACAAACACCTCTCATTAAGACCTTGTCTGTATAATAAACATCTCACATTAAGATCTTGTCTGTATAACAAACATCTGTCATTAAGATCTTGTCTGTATAACATACATCTCACATTAAGATCTTGTCTGTATAAGAAATATCTGTCATTAAGATCTTGTCTGTATAAAGATCTTGTCTGTATAACATACATCTGTCATTAAGGCCTTGTTGTATAACATGATCTGTCATTTTAAGATCCTGTCTGTATAACATACACCTCTCATTAAGATCTTTTGTATAACAAACACCTCTCATAAGTATTTGTGAAGATATATGTCATTAATATCAGTGTGTGTATATCAACATCTCTCATTAAGATCTTGTCTATATAACAAACATCTCTCATTGAGATCTTGTCTGTATAACAAAAATGTGTCTGTAAAGATATTGTCTATATAGCAATCAGCATCCTACATCATATACAAAGCAAATTAAACAGCTGTCAGTATTTTTTGACAGCTATTGTATTGGTACCCAGCTGTGGTTATACTAGCCTGGTACCACAGGAGTGTCAGTTTCCCGTCCGAGTTGTGAAGAAAGTAAGTACTGCTATGGATGCACTATGTTTTGTATTTATGCTTTTTGTCAATCTGTCCTTCCTTCCACCCATCAGTTTGTTCTGTGAACAATTTTTGTTACCACAACTTTTCAAAAAGCTGTTTGATAAATCTTCTTGCAGACTGTAAGCATGTTCACTATTGGTGCTGATCATTTATGGCCATTTTGTTAGCATGATCTTATTTTCAAGATGGCCTGCCTGTTACCTTTTTTCATTTTCACATTTGAATCACTTAATATTTATAGTATTTGTGACAGATATATGCATTATATCAGTGTGTGTGAGACCTGTACAGGGTAGGATGTGATTAATGGGTTATACACAAGTCATTCCATTCTTTAACTTCCCCACTGTTTCATGCATTATTTGTAGGGAGATCTTTATGAACTGGAGAACCAATATTTGACTGCTGTTCTAAACTCATCTGGTCATGTACTGGAGCTCTGTGTGCCAGGAACAAGCAGGTAGGTCAAGGTTATGAACTGGATCTCAATATCCATGGAACAAGCAGGTAGGTCAAGGTTGTGATATGGATCTCTATGACAGAGGAACAAACATGAAGGTCACAGTTATTTATGTACTGAATGTATATGTACCAGGAACAAGCAGGTAGGTCAAGGTTGTGATATGGATCTCTATGTCAGAGGAACAAACATGAAGGTCACAGTTATTTATGTACTGGAAGTATATGTACCAGGAACAAGCAGGTAGGTCAAGGTTGTGATATGGATCTCTATGTCAGAGGAACAAACATGAAGGTCACAGTTATTTATGTACTGGAAGTATATGTACTAGGAACAAGCCGGTAGGTCAAGGTCATATACTTGAGTTCAATGCATCAGGAGCAATATATATGTCAAGGTCATGAACTCTACATATCAGGAACAAGCAGGTAGGTGACAGCCATATATTAGAAATCTACATGCCATAAACGAGCAGGTTATATATCAGTTTATGTACTGGAGCTATACATAAAAGAAAAAAAATATCATATATTTGAACTCTATGTGCCATGAACAAGCACGTAGGTCAAGGTCATGTTGAAAAGAGCAAAGTACACATACAAACATGTAGGTTAAGGCTATGTATTGGAGCTCAATGTACCAGGAACAAGCAGGTAGGTCAAGGTCATGTACTAGAACTCCAGGTGGTGAGTACATCATCAGGGAAAGATATGCATGTACATTGATGGTCAAGATTATTGATTTGGAAGATAATGCATTGCCTAGATAGATGTGGTAGAGAGTTAGATACCTTGGACAGCCAGGTAGGTCAAGGTCATTTGGAAGAAATTACTGGATCAAAGACAGACAGATAGGTCAAGGTTGTATGGTAGAAATTACAGAGCCAAAGACAGAAAATAGGTCAAGGCATGTGGTAGAAATTACTGGATCAAAGAAAAACAGATAGGTCTAGGCTTAGAGTGTTTGGGAGTACTGAACCAAAGACAGACAGGTAGGTCAAGGTTTTAAAGTGAGAGGTTGTGTGGTAGAAATTACAGAGCCAAAGACAGAAATAGTGCAAGATCATGTGAAAGAAATTACAGCACTCCACACAGACAGGTAGGTCAAGGTTTTGAAGTGAGAGTACAGAACAAAAACAGACAGGTAGGACACATCATGTGGTAGTATTTACATTCAATATGTCTTGTTTTGGATCAGTTATTTTGGATACAAGTGGAATCAGCATGTAGTTACTAAGATTTCCTCTTTAGTTGCTCAGCATTATATTTAGAATGGCTGTCACGATGAGGAGAGGTGTTGATCATGTTACATAGAAGTTGTTTTTGTTTATATAATTTTGATTTGTTTTTATCAACGTCTGTTAATGTGGTGACAATTTTCAAATTTGCTATGTATAAAGTATCTATTGATTTGATAATAATCCAGTGCTTGAAAATGGGTAGCCTATATCAGATGTAACGTCAGCAAAAATGCAAACAAATTCTATTTTATTGTCCTGTAATAAGTCTATTGCCTGTAAGTGTGTTTGGGTACTTGTTATCAACATGTAACATGAATAATTCTACCATTGTGATGGTGTATATTTTTATCATGGTCATACAATGTGTATGAGAGCCAAACAAAACTGTATAAAAAATTGTGTAACAAACACCTGTAGTTTCACTTCAAGATCAATGGAATCTTTTAACATTGATAACTTTTCTTACAGAAATGCAATCAGTGCTAGTCACCATGGAAACCAGTTTGTGATGTATGATGATGTGCCCTTGTATTGGGATGCATGGGATGTGATGGACTATCACCTGGAGACCAGGTGAGTATATAGGGACAAAACGTTGTCTACCATAACCTATCTTATATACAATCGTCATTATATCACAAGAGCTGGGGCCATTTAGTAGTCATCATAAGTCTCTTAGTACAGGCTGTTATTTACTGACAAGAAATCATCTCAGAATCCGGGAAATGAAGTAGATGTTCAGTGGTTGTTTTAACAATTATTTTAAGTCAAGGTGACTATTAATAAAACAAAGAAAAACCAAGCATGTCTACAGAATCACAAACCAAACTCCAATTTGATAAAACTAGGGCAAAACATAAACAGAGACAGAGACTCTGGAACAAGTAGAAAGAGTATAAGACCAGGTGTGCCTGAAGAGTTAGGGTCTTCTGCTTCATCAATGACACTGTCATGTAAATCTTTGTCAATCCAGGTAAGTAATATCACATTTTGAGGTAAGGACATGGTAAACAACAACAGAGCAAACATGTACAGTAATCAAAACTCTCCAACCTTATATCACATAAGGAAAAAGAATATAGGTTGATATAGACAAGAAAAATAGATAGTGATAATGGTTGGAATAATACTTGTACTGAGATCTCAAGATTCAGGTGGGCCATCAGTCACTGCTACCAACATCCTTCATTATTGATTAAGATACATATATATATGGCTATGGTACAGTTTTTTTTACTTTTTACCCTTCATAATGAATGTCCGGGAGGAATATAGGGATATTCTTATATGTAACGTTTGTGTGAAAACATAACACATATGTTTGTCAGCATCAAGTGGCTTCATTCCTTATGGGATTTTTTTTATCAAACTTCACACACTTACAAAGGCCTATGTATCTTGGACGAGTTCTTATTTTTTTAATCTAGGATCAAGGTCAAGGTCACTGTTAGTAGATTTAGAAAATCCTTGTCAGCACTCAAGTGGCTTCATTCTTTGAGAGACATGAATCAAACCTCACACACTCGGCCATAATCTTTATCATACTACAGTTAAGGTGGAACCTCAAAATTATTATGTTGTTTTTTTTATTCCTTGCTAGTACATGTATTTAGTATTTTAGTCAATAATCCTGAAATTGAGAGATATCATCGTATGTCGATAGTTCATTGTCCATCATGTATCTGTCATTTAGTTGTCCTAAAGCAAACCAACTATTGCTGTTCTTGAGAAGAAATAGTGGTTTTTTCAGATATGTTATGTGAAGACTTCTCTTGATCCATAGTTGTACGTTGTCTCTTTTTAGACCTGTCATAAAAAATATGACCAATGAGCAGCCATCTTGAATTTTGATGATTAAAATTTGTCATTTCTATTTCTGAAGATGTACTAGATGGATCTTGGTGCATTATTGGTGTAAAATGAAATTACTGAAAAAAAGGGCAAATCGATTGAAATTGTACGATGGCTGGTTCAAATATCCCTCCGGGATTGATGATTCTGTGTTTTGTTACTCTGGATAATTCTCCACTGCAAACAAACACATTTAACAAGGTAAAGAATATAACAGACAGAAGATTAAGGGTTACCAATGTAAGCTCCTTACCTAATGAAAAAAACAATGATTATATAATCAGTAATGATGAGATATGTGAAAAGTTTAAGTTACTAAATGTTTTAAACTTTAAATTTCCAGGAAGCCTGTGACAGAAGTTATAGAAAGTGTGAAGATCACTGACCAGGGTCCTATCAGAGTATCTCTGGAGGTAGGTGTTTTATATTTGACAACCTTGGTCCTGTCAGAGTGTCTCTGGAGGTAGGTGTTTTATATTTGACGACCTTGGTCCTGTCAGAGTGTCTCTGGAGGTTAAGTGTTTTATATTTGACGACCTTGGTCCTGTCAGAGTATCTCTGGAGGTAGGTGTTTTATATTTGACGACCTTGGTCCTGTCAGAGTGTCTCTGGAGGTAGATGTTTAATATTTGACAACCTTGGTCCTATCAGAGTGTCTCTGGAGGTAGATGTTTTATATTTGACAACCTTGGTCCTGTCAGAGTGTCTCTGGAGGTAGATGTTTTATATTTGACAACCTTGGTCCTGTCAGAGTGTCTCTGGAGGTAGGTGTTTAATATTTGACAACCTTGGTCCTGTCAGAGTGTCTCTGGAGGTAAGTGTTTTATATTTGATGACCTTGGTCCTGTAAGAGTATCTTTGGAGGTAGATGTTTTATATTTGACGACCTTGGTCCTGTCAGAGTGTCTCTGGAGGTAGATGTTTTATATTTGACGACCTTGGTCCTGTCAGAGTGTCTCTGGAGGTAGGTGTTTTATATTTGACGACCTTGGTCCTGTCAGAGTATCTCTGGAGGTAGATGTTTTATATTTGACAACCTTGGTCCTGTCAGAGTGTCTCTGGAGGTAGATGTTTTATATTTGACGACCTTGGTCCTGTCAGAGTATCTCTGGAGGTAGGTGTTTTATATTTGACGAGCTTGGTCCTTTCAGAGTGTCTCTGGAGGTAGATGTTTTATATTTGACAACCTTGGTCCTGTCAGAGTGTCTCTGGAGGTAGATGTTTTATATTTGACAACCTTGGTCCTGTCAGAGTGTCTCTGGAGGTAGGTGTTTAATATTTGACAACCTTGGTCCTGTCAGAGTGTCTCTGGAGGTAGATGTTTTATATTTGACAACCTTGGTCCTGTCAGAGTGTCTCTGGAGGTAGATGTTTTATATTTGACAACCTTGGTCCTGTCAGAGTGTCTCTGGAGGTAGATGTTTTATATTTGACGACCTTGGTCCTGTCAGAGTGTCTCTGGAGGTAGATGTTTTATATTTGATGACCTTGGTCCTGTCAGAGTGTCTCTGGAGGTAGGTGTTTTATATTTGACGACCTTGGTCCTGTCAGAGTGTCTCTGGAGGTAGATGTTTTATATTTGATGACCTTGGTCTTGTCAGAGTGTCTCTGGAGGTAGATGTTTTATATTTGATGACCTTGGTCCTGTCAGAGTGTCTCTGGAGGTTAAGTGTTTTATATTTGATGACCTTGGTCCTGTCAGAGTGTCTCTGGAGGATTATTTACAGAACTGATAAAGCTTATTTTGTATTTATCTCATGAATAGTGATTCCATTTATTTTTTTCTTCCAGTTTTCTTTGAAGATCAGTGACAAAAGCTACCTCAAACAAATTATCTCTCTGGACGCCATAACTCCCTACCTCAAATGTGAAACACAGGTAAGTCAAGAGTTATCTATCTTTGTTCTTGTTTACATTTATGCCTTGTAAACCAGTCTCTTTATAGCACAAATTAGTTATTAGAGACAATGATACACTAACATCAAGATACTGTTGTCAGGTATTTTTAAAACAAGATGTATGATTTCAGGTCACGTGGCATGAGAATAGAAAGTTCCTAAAGGTAGAATTTCCAACCACAATTAACGCTAATGCAGCTTCATATGACATTCAGTTTGGTCACATCCAGAGGTCAAACCACTTCAACACATCCTGGAACTGGGCGCAGTTTGAGGTCAGTATTGTACACTGCTTGTTGATTCCCCATCAGAAAAAAAATGTGATATAAATAAAATTGCTCTCAGTTTTTAAGACTATTCAGGTCATTTGTCTATGTATGTGTAGATAAATTGGCCCTAAGTAATTGATATTGTTCAAGTCAATTGACCTTCAGTAGGATTGTGCCGGTAGACTTTCCTCAGTAAATGAGACTGTGCAGATAGATTTTCCTCAATAATTAAGACTGCGAGCATATTGGCCCTCAGTCAGTAGGATTAAGATTGTGCAGGCATATTGGCTCTCAGTCAGTAGGATTGTACAGGTAAGCTTCTTTCAGTCATTAAGATGGAGAAAGCATATTGACCCTCAGTCATTAAAAATGTGCAAATAGAATGTTCTTCGTCAGATAGACTGCAGGCACATCGACCATCAGTCAAAGTTTACAGGTAGATTTCCTTCAGTCATTAAGATTATGCAGGCAGATTGGCCTTCAGTCATGGTAACATTTAATGGACCAACCCTTGATATTGTGAAACCCTTGTGGATAATATGATCTATATTCCTCCATTATTATATAAAATAATTAGATTGTTAACTGCTTTGTTCACTAAGTTGTCAATTAGTGACTAAAGCATCCTGTTACTGTCGTATTTTTGTTCTAATCATTTTTCATACATTTAAAACATCTTTTTTTTTAATTTTATTTGAGTGTGCAATACATATGTCTGTCATTTACTTACTCTTTTACATGACTTGATATCAGGGGAGGTAAATCTAGTAGATTTGCTAACTACTCAATGCAGTGTATATAAGAATATTCCAGTTAGAGTTATCTTTCTTTGTGTCAGCACCTTGATGATACGTTACACATTTTGTTTCATTCATCAGGCCCCTTAACCATATTTCTTGCATTGAAAATCATAAGATATATCTAGGGGAGGTTTTATATGTGTGTAGTATGACATCTGATATGGTTGATTCCTGTGCAGACTGTATCTGTTACAGAAGTAGGGCACATAGCTAAGTTATGGTCACATCATCGTTAAAGACATTTATCCTATATCATGACTGAAGAGCATCTTTTCTCCAAATTGAAATGACAGGTTTTATTATATAAAGCTAACTTCAAAGTCTTCAAATGATGTAATTTTGTGGTCAGAACCAAGTGCTCGGGTGTTTTCTTTACTATAAGTGCTTGGTAGCAATATTCAAACAGACATTTGACATTCAGCCTCTAGCTTGATTTCTATGGTTTCCATACATGAAAATTTACAAATGGCAGTTTTCCAAATGAATTTTTTTTATAAATTTTTATTGGTTTTGTCTATACATGTTGTTTCCAGACTAATGTTGTATCAGCATGTGTCTTCAAACTATTGGGTTTTATAGGTACAGATTAGAAACAGAGCTTGACATGTTTGCCATCAGGAAATCTGATGTATGTTATTGTAGACTACTTCAGCCACTAAATGCCTACATCTATATAAAGCCTACCTCAAGTGTTTAAATTTGATGCAGATTGCATGCACTGTTACATTCTTGAACACAGTGCAATATTTTGTCTAACAGTAAGAAACACTAGAAATGGCTGTGTAATGACTATGATGTATAACAAGACTGATTTCAAGGAGCAGCTGCATATGTTCTTAAACTTCTCCAGCTGATCCTTAAATGTAATATATAGAGAATTGTAACTAATTAAATTTTATGTTCAAGGTCACCTTGGATTTTTGTACCATTGCAGTGATTGTACAGGTTTCATTTGTTTTCCTTGATTCTCTTCTTGTATATAAAATGTACATGTAAAGTAAATTGCTATTTCAATTTCAATTTCAAAATATTTCATAGATTTAATGACAAAAGGATTGGTGATAGGAAAGCCTAAATAAGTCCTGTGCTTTATGACTTTTATAACTCAAACATCTCTAAATGACTTTTGAATCCTGGTGACCTTCAATATTTTCACTAGGTTCTTCTTTAGGCTGAGCTCCTGAAACTCTGATACTCTTCTGAATATCAAACTTCATGAATAAATATGTAGCCAGTTTGATATAGAATTACTTTGATGTTATCATATAATTATTTAATAAACACTGAAAATGGTGTTCTGAGAGGAGAAATTTGAAATCATTTGAGAACATCTTCAACTGGAAAACATCAATTTGCATCCCTATTTAATAGTTAAAGGGGAAATTGAAATTGATATCTTCAGTAACACACGCATGTGTATCACCATGACACCTGTACGAAGCATTGCAGAAGTTTATATCAAAGGAATGTCCATGACCTTTGAATACTGAAATATTCAAATTTCCAGGTCATATCTCGGCTGTGGTTTAATATAAGTATGCATGTAATTCAGAAATGATATGTTTGTATAGAATAAGATGATACTGTTATAATGTATACAGTATTCTATATCAAAATGAACATACAATGACCTCTATTTGACCAGTGACCTTTACCTGAATTCGAAAAAAAATATTGGTAACAATATTACTGAATACTAAAATCTCAGTTGACATTTGACCTTGACCTTTGTAACTAGATAGCTTCCCTTTGCATATGTAACATGAGCTACTTTTCCTTAAAACATTTAAAACATTTGACATTCTTCTGAATGAAGTCAGCAGTACATGCAGTTTACGTTATGAGAGCTTTTATAGGTAGCCACATGTAGATGTTCCGACACATCAGGCCACTGTATATAAACAACACTCTGTCATAGCCTTGCATGTTCTAGTGCTGATCAAGGGATACCAAAACAAAAATTTGATAAGGAGGAATTTCTGAGATAGTGTCAATGAATCATTGCTTGATTGAGGGAGGCAGGTGTTGATGATATATAATGTTTAAGTGCAGAATATGTTTTCTTAGATAGGGCAAGCCTGATCAAACATCGCTGTAGGTATAAAATGTAAAATAAAATTGTGTAAAAAACCTGCAATTTCAAGTGCACTAGAAGATTAATTAAAATGACAACAAACCAGTAACGCTAAAACCTATTATCTTTACAATCTACAGTTGTTCAAGCAGTTAAAATTGATTTTTGATTTTGTTTGATGGGTTAACAAGCTGATATACATCATCAAAAGATTGCAACTTATTTTTTTCTGTTTTAATGGAGATTTTTTAATGCAGTTTTTACAGCTCAGCAACAAAAATGCTGACAGTGGTATGTTAAAGTTCTGTGTCTTTCTTCTTCTAGTGCACGGTAATTACCACAGCAAAATAGTACAATAGTAAAATAAGACATATCACACTTATGTCATGTACAATACAGACAATTCACACTAATGTCATGTACAATAAAGACTAATCACACTTATGTCATGTACAATAAAGGCAAGTCACACTTATGTCATGTACAATAAAGACAATTCACACTTATGTCATGTACAATAAAGACAATTCACACTGATGTCATGTACAATAAAGACTAATCACACTTATGTCATGTACAATAAAGAAAAATCACACTGATGTCATGTACAATAAAGGCAAGTCACACTTATGTCATGTACAATAAAGACAAGTCACACTTATGTCATGTACAATACAGACATTTCACACTTATGTCATGTACAATAAAGACAATTCACACTTATGTCATGTACAATAAAGACAAATCACACTGATGTCATGTACAATAAAGACTAATCACACTTATGTCATGTACAATAAAGAAAAATCACACTGATGTCATGTACAATAAAGGCAAGTCACACTTATGTCATGTACAATACAGACAATTCACACTTATGTCATGTACAATAAAGACAAATCACACTTAAGTCATGTACAATAAAGACTAATCACACTTATGTCATGTACAATAAAGGCAAGTCACACTTATGTCATGTACAATACAGACAATTCACACTTATGTCATGTACAATGAAGACAAATCACACTTATGTCATGTACAATAAAGACTAATCACACTTATGTCATGTACAATAAAGGTAAGTCACACTTATGTCATGTACAATAAAGACAATTCACACTTATGTCATGTACAATAAAGACAAATCACACTTATGTCATGTACAATAAAGACATTTCACACTTATGTCATGTACAATAAAGGCAAGTCACACTTATGTCATGTACAATAAAGACAATTCACACTTATGTCATGTACAATAAAGACAATTCACACTTATGTCATGTACAATAAAAACAATTCAATCTTATGTCATGTACAATAAAGACAATTCACACTTATGTCATGTACAATAAAGAAAAATCACACTGATGTCATGTACAATAAAGACAATTCACACTTATGTCATGTACAATAAAGACTAATCACACTTATGTCATGTACAATAAAGAAAAATCACACTGATGTCATGTACAATAAAGACTAATCACACTTATGTCATGTACAATAAAGGCAAGTCACACTTATGTCATGTACAATAAAGACAATTCACACTGATGTCATGTACAATAAAGGCAAGTCACACTTATGTCATGTACAATAAAGACAATTCACACTGATGTCATGTACAATACAGACATTTCACACTTATGTCATGTACAATACAGACAATTCACACTTATGTCATGTACAATAAAGACTAATCACACTTATGTCATGTACAATAAAGGCAAGTCACACTTATGTCATGTACAATACAGACAATTCACACTGATGTCATGTACAATACAGACATTTCACACTTATGTCATGTACAATACAGACAATTCACACTTATGTCATGTACAATAAGACTAATCACACTTATGTCATGTACAATAAAGGCAAGTCACACTTATGTCATGTACAATACAGACATTTCACACTGATGTCATGTACAATAAAGACAATTCACACTTATGTCATGTACAATAAAGACTAATCACACTAATGTCATGTACAATACAGACATTTCACACTTATGTCATGTACAATAAAGACAATTCACTCTTATGTCATGTACAATAAAAACAATTCACACTTATGTCATGTACAATAAAGGCAAGTCACACTTATGTCATGTACAATAAAGGCAAGTCACACTTATGTCATGTACAATAAAGACAATTCACACTTATGTCATGTACAATAAAGACTAATCACACTAATGTCATGTACAATAAAGAAAAATCACACTTATGTCATGTACAATAAAGACTAATCACACTTATGTCATGTACAATAAAGGCAAGTCACACTTATGTCATGTACAATAAAGAAAAATCACACTGATGTCATGTACAATACAGACATTTCACACTTATGTCATGTACAATACAGACAATTCACACTTATGTCATGTACAATACAGACAATTCACACTAATGTCATGTACAATAAAGACTAATCACACTTATGTCATGTACAATAAAGGCAAGTCACACTTATGTCATGTACAATACAGACAATTCACACTGATGTCATGTACAATACAGACATTTCACACTTATGTCATGTACAATACAGACAATTCACACTTATGTCATGTACAATAAGACTAATCACACTTATGTCATGTACAATAAAGGCAAGTCACACTTATGTCATGTACAATACAGACATTTCACACTGATGTCATGTACAATAAAGACAATTCACACTTATGTCATGTACAATAAAGACTAATCACACTAATGTCATGTACAATACAGACATTTCACACTTATGTCATGTACAATAAAGACAATTCACTCTTATGTCATGTACAATAAAAACAATTCACACTTATGTCATGTACAATAAAGGCAAGTCACACTTATGTCATGTACAATAAAGGCAAGTCACACTTATGTCATGTACAATAAAGACAATTCACACTTATGTCATGTACAATAAAGACTAATCACACTAATGTCATGTACAATAAAGAAAAATCACACTTATGTCATGTACAATAAAGACTAATCACACTTATGTCATGTACAATAAAGGCAAGTCACACTTATGTCATGTACAATAAAGAAAAATCACACTGATGTCATGTACAATACAGACATTTCACACTTATGTCATGTACAATACAGACAATTCACACTTATGTCATGTACAATACAGACAATTCACACTAATGTCATGTACAATAAAGACTAATCACACTTATGTCATGTACAATAAAGGCAAGTCACACTTATGTCATGTACAATACAGACAATTCACACTGATGTCATGTACAATACAGACATTTCACACTTATGTCATGTACAATACAGACAATTCACACTTATGTCATGTACAATAAGACTAATCACACTTATGTCATGTACAATAAAGGCAAGTCACACTTATGTCATGTACAATAAAGAAAAAATCACACTGATGTCATGTACAATAAAGACAATTCACACTTATGTCATGTACAATAAAGAAAAATCACACTGATGTCATGTACAATACAGACATTTCACACTTATGTCATGTACAATACAGACATTTCACACTGATGTCATGTACAATAAAGACAATTCACACTTATGTCATGTACAATAAAGACTAATCACACTTATGTCATGTACAATAAAGGCAAGTCACACTTATGTCATGTACAATAAAGAAAAATCACACTGATGTCATGTACAATACAGACATTTCACACTTATGTCATGTACAATACAGACAATTCACACTAATGTCATGTATAATAAAGAAAAGTCACACTGATGTCATGTACAATAAAGACAAATCATACTTATGTCATGTACAATACAGACTTTGAAAGATTTTATTTCATAGATACAAATTCTGTGAAAATATTCTACAACAAATTCATAGGGATTTCTTTTTCGCTTGCACATACCGGTATGTACAATAGAGTCACATGAAATGGTCACTGATTTATTTCATTTAACCTGTGTAATATAAGAAACTATAGACATGATAATATCACCATTACATTAAACAACATTATTCTGACATACATGTGAATATATATCTGATAACAACTGGAAAACCATCAGCTTTTCTCTATGTAGATAATGTTATTGTATGATTCAAGTCTAATCAGTGATTGAAAGACCATAATATGGGGTATCATTTTTAATACAGCATACACTGGTCAATAAAACACTGAGGTATTTTGGCAAAAGGGAAAAATAAATATTGGAGCAGTTTTAAGATTGCTTTATCTCTGTTACACAATAGTACAGTAAACCTGATATATACACCTTTGCGCCTGACAGTTTTCATGCCAGCCTCGTTGATTTACCTGATACACTATCAGGGTGTTGTTGAGTGTAGTTTGGTTCAGATTCCTGTGTGCTGAGGTATGTCTTTAGCTGTTCTAGCTAATTACACTTGTAGTCAGGTGTTATTGTACAAGGTTGTATCTTCTGCAATTCTGCTTCCATAAAGAATTTTATGAAAAGAACATGTGCTATAGTGTTAATTGTTTTCTTTAGTAATTAATTTTTATGGTGTTTAAAACCACTGCACCTGACTTTCTGTATGTTTTTCTATTTCTGGAGATCAAGACTAAAACTTCTGAAAGTTTTTCTTGATGATATTACTATGTATTAGCTAGACAAGATTGCCTGTATTAGTTTTCTACTCTTCACCAGGCTTAGAGAAGAAAAATATTATCTTATAGACTATACATTTATAATCCAGCTTTTAAGATCTTTAGATGTGCAATTAGTGTTTAACAGCTTATTGAGATCAAGGCTTCTTTCTAGAATCAGCAAAGAGGGTACGATAATTATAGATATGTAGAGGAGGGAGTTGGGGAGGCACACAGAATGGAAGATGCACATAGCAACACTTTTAGGTTTAAGTGATGGAAAGACAAAAAACATTTATAATTACAACACATTAGCAGGGAAAAGGCACAATTGACAGATGAATGTCAGATGACAAATAACAGGCAGATGACAGATAACAGTCACATGACAAAGAACAGTCACATGACAGAGAACAGTCACATGACAGAACAGTCATATTACAGCACAGTCATATGACAGAGAACAGTCTCGTGACAGAGAACAGTCACATGACGAAGAACAGTCACATGACAGAGAACAGTCACATGACGAAGAACAGTCACATGACTGAGAATGGCCACATGGCAGGGAACAGTCACATGAGATAGAACAGTCACTTGACAGAGAACAGTCACATGACTGAGAATGGCCACATGGCAGGGAACAGTCACATGAGATAGAACAGTCACTTGACAGAGAACAGTCACATGACTGAGAATGGCCACATGACAGGGAACAGTCACATGAGATAGAACAGTCACATGACAAGGAACAGTCACATGGCAGAGTAAATGACACATATGGTAGGGTAGAGCCATGTTACAGGAAAAGACAGATGGCAGATAACAATCATATGACATGAAAACAGTCTCATGGCGGGTCAACAGTTACATAACACTAGAAACACTCTCATAGTAGGGAAAAGTTAGATGATATGACTAGAGACAGCACATGCTTTTGGAAGGACACATTATATCGTGGAGCAGATTCTGTAGAGATCAACGACACATCAGTTTCCAATTATCTGTATATTTACCGGTGTTTTGTGCTGTAATTTTCAGAATTTTGTCATTTATCTTTAGTTGTTATATGTAATGTAGGTGTTAAGTCAGTTTAATCTTTGTACACCTGTTTATTTCACCTGTTTATAGATAGTGCCCTGTAAAAAGTTTACTACCATTTAATTGTCTTGCGACCACCTATTAAATTTTGCTTATATCTGTGATCAATATAGATAATGCAGAAATAAATTTCATGTGAATATTTATTCCATGAAATAAAAAATCTGTGTTTATAACCAGGGAGGTATGTAACAGTTATATACGTCCCTGAATAACCAAAACAGATTGGTAACATTTGTGTTTATAACCAAAACAAATATGTGTACAAAATGAAAGGATTGTCCTATGTGACTGCAATATTTGACTATGAACATTTAATACCAGTGAAATATTAGCCCGAAAAAACGAGACATTTATGCAGTAAGTAACTTGCAGAAAATAGCTATGAGGCTTGGGGACCTTAATGAAATGCTGTAAGATGTATATACTGTATTAAGTGTTGGGAGTGCTGTTTTGACCTTTGACCTTTGTCTTTTAGGTGTGTGGACACAAGTGGGCTGACCTTTCCGAGTATGGATTTGGCCTGGCCATACTTAATGATAGTAAATATGGCTACTCCTGCCTGGACAATGTTCTCCGACTCTCATTGTAAGTCATTATCTGAGGAAACTTAAATGTGCATGTAACTTTAAATCTATACTACTTACATTATATTAGTTGTCCCAAACATTTTAGGATGGGGCATGTTACCTTTGTGTGTCAGTCTTATAATATCACATCATCTCCTGCAGCTCCTGTTGCCTCCCGTTCCAAATCATCATCATAGAAATGTCATATTTTGATAACCTTTTGACAGATTCGGTTCAAATTTATCTCATAGTATCATAACATCATGCTCTACACCTCATCAGATTAAAAGTGCATTGGAGCTTTTTTTATAGACATTTTCTAGTGCACAGTTTATCAGGCTCTTACTTTCTGATTTCTTTATGCTACATCTAGATTTACTCAGGTACTTACTTCAAACTCTCTTTCTACAACACATTAAGTATTCAGTTTTGCTCTATCTTTCTCCTTATACTTAGCCTGTAAAGTTTCTACCTGTAAATCACACAGGGATCAATTTTATCTTTATCATGTGTATGATGGTTTAAAGAATGAGATACAAGTGTAATCTTTGGAGCACTTGCATCTGGTGCATCTGTAGAGAGGATTTATTAAGTTCCATAAAATGGTTAATCATATGCCAGCTAATGGAATTACAGGAGGGACAGGGATGGATCAAACAGGGAAAATTCTTGTAAACTTCAAAAGTTTGTTCTTTATGTATGGAAGAAATATAAATTCAGTTTTTAACCAAATTTGGTAAGAAACATTCTCAGGTTTAAGGTGACTCATTGTGCTATTAAGTAAAAGTTAGCTCCCTTGTCTTGGTGCAACATGTATATATATACTGTCAGTGGGGAAACATTTGTGATATCAGTAGTAACAACAGTTTGACTTGAATGCTTCAATATCAGATAATAATAGCAGATATAGGTTGCCTTAGACCTAATTATCTCTCTATGTCTTTAAGTTAAATTTTTTTCATTTTTTTCCCCAGACTTCGCGCTCCTAAAGCCCCTGATGCAAAGGCAGACATGGGAGCACATAAGTTTACATATGCCATCATGCCTCACACTGGTAAGTGTCTTGCTGTATTTTTACTTATATTGAAATGTCCATGTCAGTGTAATTGGTATTCATGTTTCCAAAACATCCAGGAATAGTGAAATCTAATGGGCAAAGAAAACAATTTATATATTGTAAGATGATAAAAAACAAAACTTTCATTAGAAGCTACATTTTTTTTTTTTTTTTTTTGTATTTCCAAAATAACACTTGAGAGAAAATGTCCATCAAAATAGATCAGAAATTGACATACTTGTAGTTATTGTGTTGTCCTGTTGCCAGGAGATCACAATGACCCTGTATCAAGATAAGATGTGCAATTTTACCACACTAGGAAACGGTGGATAGACAACTTGACTGATGGATATGACAAATATATATTCCATCAGTCGTTAAAATTTGATTGGAATTTTAAATGGAGTTGTATCTAATATTACATTTAAATAAATTATTCAATATTTATTTAAGTTTTTCGTACTGACAAATTGAATTTCTGTTGCACAAGTAATGTTGGCAGAAATTTTGATTGACAAGAGCTTATTTTCTCTATAGGTCAATGAAATGACAAATATCAGAAAATTGGGTCATACTGTCGGTTTTTTGTGTTCAAGATCTTCATTTCCTGTGAAAGGGAAATAAAGTATATTTATATTCATGAGAAGCTAGCAGATGACTTAGTTATCTGTTTGTCCAGGCCAACCAAATTATATGTGTAAGACTGCTGAGTGAGATAGAGTTCACTCCATATTCATACAGGCTTATACAATTCCTGACAAAATGAAAAAGAGATATGTCTATTGCTTTCCTCAAGAAATTTAAAAAAAATTCTCTTTGTTAAAAAGTCATGATAACTTCTATCATTATTATTTGAATTAAAATCTGGAGAATCAATGACAACAGGCTGGAGATAGCTTCTAGTAACTTATAGGTATTGTCAAACGGTTTTGCCTTAAAGCTTGGGCTTCATCAGGACATAGGATCATAAAATTTCTTCCCTAAGGTACTAAAATTGTGGGCAGCTTTATACCATGCATCATGATGTGACAATTTAACAATACATTCTATGTAAAACAATTGTCCTTTGTTCTGTTATCTTTTGTTATCTTCTTTCTATACTTCTATACTCTCTCCATCACAGTAATTCTTTATTATACACAAAACGTTAATGTTTATCAGGACAAGTGGTCGACAGTGATTCTGATGTGTAGTTCACTATTTTATAATCCACTTATATTGCAGCATGCAGGTATCAGATAAGAAATTTAAGGTCCAATATACAGCACTGTGGTTGATTTTGAGAATTGGCAATATCCTTATCCTTAATTTGAAGTAGAAATACGTGGTGGGGGCACCATCAGGTACACCTGTGGGAAAGAGTTATCTTCCATGAATGTTAAAACAGAGGTGGGAGAAATATCTTATTATATCAGTAAATGTGCAGTAAAAAAAGTGAAGATCACTTGTGTGTGAACTGGAGCAATTTCATAAGCAAAAACATTGACATAGGTAACTGGTACAATAGTCAGGACTTGTAGGGAACTGGTACAATGGTCGGGACCTGTAGGGAACAGGTACAATGGTCGGAACCTGTAGGGAACTATTACAATGGTTAGGACCTGTAGGGAACTGGTACAATGGTCAGGACCTGTAGGGAACTGGTACAACGGTCAGGACCTGTAGGTAACTGGTACAATGGTCAGGACCTGTAGGGAACTGGTACAATGGTCAGGACTTGTAAGGAACTGGTACAATGGTCAGGACTTGTAAGGAACTGGAACAATGGTCAGGTCCTGTAGGGAGCTAGTACAGAGGTCAGGACCTGTAGGGATCTAGTACAGAGGTTAGGACCTATAGGGAGCTAGTACAAAGGTCAGGACCTATGGACTGCTGGTTTATTAGGTCATCTGACCCGAAGGGTCCGATGACCTATAGTCATCATGCTTCGTCCGTCGTCGTCCGCCGTGCGCCGTGCGCCGTCCGCCGTGCGCCGTCCGTAAACTTTTCATTCAAACGACTTCTTCTCAATAATTGGAAGGCCCAGGCAACTAATATTTGGCCTGTAGCTTGCTTTGATGAAGCCCTACCAAGTTTGTTAAAAAGAATGACCTTGACCTTCATTCAAGGTCACAGGGGTCAAATGTCTTAAAATCTTCAAACGAGTTCTTCTCAATAACTGGAGGGCCCAGGCAACTAATATTTAGCCTGTAGCTTGCTTTGATGAAACCCTACCAAGTTTGTTCAAATGAATGACCTTGACCTTCATTCAAGGTCACAGGGGTCAAATGTCTTTAAATCTTCAAAGGACTTCTTCTCAGTAATCAAAAGGCCCAGGCAACTAAAATAAGGCCTGTAGCATGCTGGGATGAAGGACTACCAAGTTTGTTCAAATGAATGACCTTGACCCACTTTAAAGGTCACAGGGGTCAAATATGTTAAAATCTTTAAACAACTTCTTCTCAATAACCAAAAGGCTCAGATTGCTGATATTGTGCCTGTGGCATGCTGGGATGAAGGGCTATCTAGTTTGTTTAAATGAATGACCTTGAAAAACTTTCAAGGTCACAGGGGTCAAATATGTCAAAATCTTTAAATAACTTCTTCTCAAATACTAGAAGGCCTAGGGGGCTTATACTTGGCCCATAGCATGCTGGCATGGAGCCCTACAAAGTTTGTTCAAATGAATGACCTTGGCCCACTTTCAAGGTCACAGGGGTCAAATATGTTAAAATATACAAAGGACTTCATCTCAATAAGCAAAAGTCTATGAGTGCCGATATTGGGTCTGTAGCATGCTGGGAGGAAAGGCTACCAAGTTTATTTAAATGAATGACCTTGAACAACTTTCAAGGTCGCAGGGGTCAAATATGTCAAAATCTTTAAATAACTTCTTCTCAAATACTAGAAGGCCTAGGGGGCTAATACTTGGCCCATAGCATGCTGGCATGGAGCCCTACAAAGTTTGTTCAAATGAATGACCTTGGCCCACTTTCAAGGTCACAGGGGTCAAATATGTTAAAATATACAAAGGACTTCATCTCAATAAGCAAAAGTCTATGAGTGCCGATATTGGGTCTGTAGCATGCTGGGAGGAAAGGCTACCAAGTTTATTCAAATGAATGACCTCAACCCACTTTCAAGGTCACAGGGGTCAAATATGTTAAAATATACAAACGACTTCTTCTCAACAAGCAAAAGTCCATGAGTGCTGATATTGGGCCTGTAAGATGCTTGGAGGAGAGGCTACCAAGTTTGTTCAAATGAATGACCTCAACCCACTTTCTAGGTTTGGCTTGCTTTTTGTCAGATGACCGTTAAGGCCCATGGGCCTCTTGTTTAATTAATTAATATACTGAATTGTACCCTTCTATATTTAGAAAGTAGATAAATAGAATGTGTGGTAACTTATTTCAACCAGTTTTCCTATTGTGCACACATTGTGCATACATTGATCATGTGCACTTTGTGCAGACATTGTGCACTCATCATACATCATGTAACATTATGTGATCCCACAACTATGATTGATACTGACATTTACTGTCAGTTCACTGTCAAGGATTAATTTCACCCGTAAAGTTTCAGGAATACCCCCTCCCCATCCCCCCTGCCCCCTCTGCCTGCCTATTATAAGCTGCCAGGCTATGGGTTATACTTTTATCATGACCAGTGTGTATATCATTCAGGGACAAATGTCCTTTGTACATATAGAAATAAAAATATTCATAAAAAGTAGATTATCAGAAAAATGAAATGTACCCTAAACTTAAAAAGATTATTGATATCTTACAAAACAGATTGTCAAAAGATAAATTCATGTAAAAATTATAGATAAAGATTATTGATATCTCACAAACCAGATTAACAGGAAAAATAGCATTGATTTCTATAAAACGTACCAGCTGTCCACATTTACTTTATTTTATAATGGAAATGAAGCAGAAATGAATGCAATAACAAGCACCTAGGTGATCCTGAATAATCGGAATATGATTCACCAGAAGACTTAGATTGATGGTGTTGTACTTGAAATGTTTGGCAGTCCCAGTAGATCCCATCCAGCGTTGCCCTAGATGTCTTATCCTACCCCACATCACCAAGCCAAGCCTGAACTATGAATTCTTGATGGCCACCAGTAGATTAAAGATGTCAACAACATTATAGTCATTAGGAAATTCATTGAGAGCTTCTGTACTGATTTACATACCGTTGGATATCTGTCCTGCCTGGACAGCCTATAAAGTATTGAATGTGTGATCAAGTGTTTCTTTTTGTGTCACCTTGACAATTTTTGTTTGGTTTTTGTTGACCTTGTTCTTTTGTTTCTAGTCATGAATCTATCAACTTTCCATGGCAGTAACCCTTTAATGAATCCATGTCTGTTAAAAGTTTACTTTTATAAGTAACTTTATGATGGTTGTTATGAAATGGAAATAAAGATATATGGTATGATTTTATCATATGATGGTGATTTTTAATTTTCAGATCGCATTTTCGACTAAAATTTCTTTTTATTTTATAGGTTTCCATTTGATTATCTTCATTTGTTGAAATATTCATTTTTTACGAACAACCTCCCTGGGAATAAACATACTTACTGAAATAGAGATTTATTTGTATTCTTTTGACAGTTTGATTAGCCATTAAAGTGCATGTGCACCTTAGTTAGCTGATATGTATTAATGTTTACTGTGTAATACTATCATTTTAATGGCAGTTACGTTGATCTGTCTCTGTGATTGGGTAAGACTTCAGCAGATTGGTTATCTATATATACCATAAGATGGTTTCATGAGGCAGTTTACATGGATGGGTTCACTTCTGATGAGGATATCAATCGTCAGAGTAATAAAATCATTGTCGTCATCTTTCTGGTCTTCACAGACAAGCCACCAGGCTCATTCATCCTAGCAAGCCACACTTGTATGGCTTAAACATATCAAAGTATTACCACAGTGAGATCAGTGATCTGTATCATCACAAATCGCAATGCCAGCCATTTATCGGAAGGAATTTCAGTATAACACGATTTAGAAATTGTTGGTGAAATATCTGTATGTGATAGCATGTTGTCATGCCTATGGGCAATGGTGGAAACATTAACAGAGGCTGGTCGGATAGAAATGTTATCAGGTTTGGTACACTCTGCCACATAATACCGTCAGTTTGATGGAGTAGATTGTCCTTACATGTTTAGTTACCTATTTGTTGTTACATGTACATTCCAGTAGGCTATATATGACTGACATCTTTATCATCATATCCAGTCATTTTTATATGCCGCCGGAGGTGGTCATATAGTGGCGTCATCTTCTCCGTCTGTCCGTCCGTACATCCATTTCTTGTGAACACAACTCCTCCTAAACGAATCGTCAGATTTTCACGACACTTGCTCAATATCACTAATACAATGGTTTGATGTTCATGATTTTATGGTTCATTGATTTTTGTAAGATTTTATCTTATTTTTAGGCTGGGTGTTCTACAGTTAAGACAAGGTAACAGAAATAAATACTACAGCTGTGATGAAAACTTTTCTTTCTTTTGGTTAAAGTTTTCAATATGTTCTGTGTGATAATATATTCAGTATTCCATGACATTCAGTATGTGATGATTTTTATTTCACCTGGTCTGAAGGAACAGCTGAACAGATTTCAACCAAATTTGCTCTCCAGCAACTTTGGAGGAAGTTCTTGAAAATTCTTCTTCTGTAGAAATATTTGGATTTTGTCTAAATTTGCTGTGGGCCATCCTTTGGTGAAGGGGAGTCAGTTTTGTATAATGCTGTGTTTCAACCCCCTAGGGTGGGAGGGATGTGGTCTAATAGGGAAATAGGGCAATTCCTTTAAAATCCCTCTTCTACAGCAATGCTTAGATTCTGTCCAGATTTGGTATAAAGCATTCTTGGGTCAAGAACAATCCCCTAAAATCCCTCTTCTTCTACAGGAGTACTTGGATATTGTCTTATTTAGTCCAAAATATCTTTAGTTGGGAGATCAATTTTTTTTTATATTGGATATTGGATCTCTGAAGTGGGAGGAGCAGGGCCCAATACAGGAAAAAGAACATTTTGCTTTGAAATCATTGGGTGTAAGGGAATCAGTTTTATACAAATGGTGGTTCTGGTCCCCTGAGGCAGGAGGGATGAGGCCCAATAGGAGAAAAGTGAAAATGCTTTCTGCTCCTCTCTGCTCTGTTTCTCTTGGATTCTGTCCCTATTGGCTCTCAAGTGTCCTTTGATGAAGACTGATCAGTTTTGTATAAATGGTTGGTGTTGATCCCCTGGGATGGGAAGGGCAAAGCCATATAGAGAATATATAGCAAATTCTCTTAAATCCTGTGGTGAAAATGACAGTTATAAAGCAAATTGAGATGAGCAATACAGATCCTATGGGAGTGTTGTTTTAACTTCCTGGTCTTTGTTATACTTAGTAAATATGTTTCAATATATAATCAATAAGAAATTAGAAAAAATAATGTTTTAAGGTTGTTCTTCAATTGTGACTTTTTCAAATCATCTGCAGTCTGTTTATAGTGTTTATAGTTGTCCAATGACAAAATCTAATTATTGCTACATTTCTCAATGATAACAGAGTGCAACAGGGATAACTGACCTTTATCAAACTGCATTGTCTTATCAGGAACATTCCAAGAGGCTGGGGTGATACAACAGGCCTATAACCTCAACTACCCACTGTATGTACAGCAAAGAGATGACACAGGGGAGACAACTCCGGTAAATAGCACAGCTCTGGAACCCACAAGTTTCTTCCAACTTGACACTCCACAGGTCATCCTGGAGACTGTAAAAAAGGTAAGATACAAACAAGCTTCAAGATGTCAAACAGGAAATTTCAGTATGGTGTGATGGTAGGGTCTAAAGAACAACTGACCACTGTATATCCCCTCATTTAAGTAATCCCAGGGGCTATCAAAAGGATAAGATAACTTTATGTATTGTCATTGTAGTGACCCAGGGGCCATCAAAAGGATAAGATAACTTTATGTACTGTCATTGTAGTGACCCAGGGGCCATCAAAAGGATAGGGTTACTTTATGTACTGTCATTGTAGTGACCCAGAGGCCATTAAAAGGATAAGACATTCATGTACTCTCATTGTAGTGACCAAGGGGCTATCAAAAGGATAGGGTTACTTTATGTACTGTCATTGTAGTGACCCAGGGGCCATGAAAAGGATAAGACATTCATGTACTTTCATTGTAGTGACCAAGGGGCTATCAAAAGGATAGGGTTACTTTATGTACTGTCATTGTAGTGACCCAGGGGCCATCAAAAGGATAGGGTTACTTTATGTACTGTCATTGTAGTGACCCAGGGGCCATCAAAAGGATAAGATAACTTTATGTACTGTCATTGTAGTGACCCAGGGGCCATCAAAAGGATATGGTTACTTTATGTACTGTCATTGTAGTGACCCAGGGGCCATTAAAAGGATAAAACATTCATGTTCTCTCATTGTAGTGACCAAGGGGCTATCAAAAGGATAGGGTTACTTTATGTACTGTCATTGTAGTGACCCAGGGGCCATTAAAAGGATAAGACATTCATGTACTGTCATTGTAGTGACCCAGGGGCTATCAAAAGGATAGGGTTACTTTATGTACTGTCATTGTAGTGACCCAGGGGCCATTAAAAGGATAGGGTTACTTTATGTACTGTCATTGTAGTGACCCAGGGGCCATCAAAATGATAAGATAACTTTATGTACTGTCATTGTAGTGACCCAGGGGCCATCAAAAGGATATGGTTACTTTATATACTGTCATTGTAGTGACCCAGGGGCCATCAAAAGGATAAGATAACTTTATGTACTGTCATTGTAGTGACCCAGGGGCCATCAAAAGGATATGGTTACTTTATGTACTGTCATTGTAGTGACCCAGGGGCCATTAAAAGGATAAGACATTCATGTACTCTCGTTGTAGTGACCCAGGGGCCATCAAAAGGATAGGGTTACTTTATGTTCTGTCATTGTAGTGACCAAGGGGCTATCAAAAGGATAGGGTTACTTTATGTACTGTCATTGTAGTGACCCAGGGGCCATCAAAAGGATAGGGTTACTTTATGTACTGTCATTGTAGTGACCCAGGGGCCATCAAAATGATAACATAATTGTTTCTCACATACCTCACAAGGTGATTGGTTGATAGGGATGGGATAGCTGTATATTACATGGGATAGGCTAAGACAGCTGGTATATATACACAATAATGCTACTCACAATAGGCTAGCGTCATCATTTTATGTAGTGTGACCATATCACAACTGGATAATTTCTTCAGCTTTGATGCAGATTTCATGGAACATTGATGATGGCGTGATAAATACAGTTTCACAACGTTGATTTTATAACTGTGAGAAAAATAATCAAACATGGGGAGCCTTGGCCATGCTGTCAGCCAAACTCTTACACAAGGGCTTAGATATTCCTGTTATTGGAACAGATCTGTGTAAAATTCTATTAGTGTTCTCTTATTGTGGTGATTCAGGGACTTTCAAAATGTAAAGATAACGGTATGTTCCCTGTATCATATGTATCACTGCATTGGCAATGTAAAATTTAATCAAATTGATAATTAAACTGATATTTTACTGGTAAAAATGTAACAGTTGACTGTTTGTTCAAACCAAATAAAATATAATGTAGGTTAATACAGAGTGAAATGATGTTAGATTTTATCATCTACAACATTGTACAATCTATTTAACAAATTGGAGAATTCTATTGACTGGTATATCTTATGTTTAAATTGATCGGTATGTTGGCATCCAACTTCATATTCAAGGTCTTTTATCAATAATGACATTCCTATGAAAATATTTTAAACGTTTTAAAAAATTACAGTGTAGGGGAAAATTGAAATAAATTATATAACCTTAAGTATCAGCATTGATATAATTTCAGCGATTCAATCATTTGAACTTAACCTGATAGACCAGAGGATTCTAGTTGACAAAGGCAAAGAAAATGAATTCTTTCTTTGATTAAAATGTCAAAAAAAAAATCTGTTAAAGTGAGAAATATTGATTTAGTGATAAGTCAGCCTCTTCAGATAAACACTAACAGCGGGATTTTTTGGAGGAAGGACATGAAAGTTATATGAGAAATGATGAAACAAGGAAACCATACCCAGTTAATGGACATATTAAACAATAAAAACTTGATATTCAATCAAACATGTTACCATTCTGTGTGACACAGTTAAGATTGGGTTGTGAATCCAGGAGATAAGACTCTAACAATTTTTCTCTTATTTAACACTGACACGTTTCTGGTTTATTTTCGACTCAAACAGAACAAAAAAAGTTAAACTGTAGTAAATGAATAAAAAAAATGATGGAGTGATATTGATGATGCCCTGTGGAACAACCCTGTATTTTTTTTTATAATTTATCAATCTACCTCTGTGACAGGTTGAAATGTTATATGAATCTTGGTAAGGATCAAGAAATCAGTAGAAAGGGGTATAATTTAATCTATTAAAGAAAGTGTCTTGCGACCTAGATTTTAGTCTATATTTAGAATGAAATTATTGAAATGGATGATAAGAAGAATTGATTATTGAATTGTAAAGTTCATGCTACGTATAATCAAGATGAGGTTGTATGATGTCAGATCCATCATGTATTGTTTCACATGGATGTGATTTTATGGAAATCTTCACTTTTGTGACAAATGTGATATCATGAAGAGTGCATAACTGACTTCTGTGATATGTCACAGGGAGAACACTGGGGACACTAATTGGACATGTGACAAATAGATACAAATTTAAATTGATATTAAAGTGCTTTTATAGAATACATAAGGTTTTCTGTCAAAGCATCCAAGTCTTAAAGCTTCAGCTCTAGTTTATATATGTGTAAATAAAAATTTATTTTAATGAAATTATTTGATATGGTTGTTTTTGGTCGGTTCACAAGCAAAGCTATTTGTAATGTTAAGCATTGTATAATAGACATATCGATAGCGATTTACAGGCAGTTTTGTATAATTGGTTGTCTTTTACTCTCAGTGTGAGAAGAAAAACGGAAGTCTTGTACTGCGAGTGTATGAGGCATTTGGTGGAGAGACACGGGCCTGTCTGACTTCTTCTGTTCCGTTCAACAATATTTACAGGTAAGCATATGAATACTGAAGTATTAAGTACCCACAAACAGGCTTACTGTACATCTCTCTAGATCATTGTAGATCTAGTCTTACAGGAGCCTGAGAAAAAGTCAGTTTATTAACACAGATCGATGCAGAATTTACTTCATCCGAAATACAGACTTTTGTTTGCTTTTCGAGTTGAGTTGGTGACTATCTTGCACTTGAAAGTGAAACAGATCATCAGACCAAAACTCAGCTCAAACTTTAGTTTGGCATAATCAAGACAGCAACAGATGAATGGAAAAAAATTAGGACCTTAAAGATCAGTTAGGACAGTAGAATACTGTTAAGACTTATGTCCCAAACCCAGAACTTAATCGGTAAAACTTTGTACCTGGATTGACAATAACAATTACACAAACATACCAGCTATTTTGTAGATATGTGTACTGGACAAAAAACACAGATGTATAAAACATATTTCAGTTCCTAACATGTTATTCGCTTTCTGTGTAAAATGCTAAAATGATTATATATGGTTTCCAGGATTTTTTTCCTTTACAAGTAGTTACACTTATAGATAGAAGAAATGTGTTAAAAGTACATAGATTTGATTTATAAAATGGTAATTCTCTAAGGAAATAATGATATTTTATATCAATATTGATGACTGTATTACTTTTGATTTGGGCACCAGGAATGTCAAGCTGAAATACAGACATGAAGAAACATTCCAAACAGTGGTAAAATGTCCATTAGTTTACTGTTCATCTATGGCTTATATGAGGTTCCACTGTATGTATTTATTTTTAACACGGCTCAGAAAGGCATGCTGTGATATTCATGGCACATGCCTGAAGTGCTCCTGATATCAATTAATTATGTGCTCAAGATTGATTAAACAACGGATCTTAAATTCAATATGACCATTCATGAATATTTCATAAATTGTAAAGAAAATCTCACTCTGTTGTTGGTGAAAAGGTCAATACCTCTTCCTCTCAGAGTTTCTGTTGATACAGGAGTTTGTGAAGACCTAGGGCATTAACATTTTGTTCTAGTGCAGCATATTAATACCCCAGTGGACATACACAATGTAATGTTACCCTTGGCTGTCATTCTTTACAGATATGGCAAAGTCATTTGCATTGGTATTTAGTTGCACGGTAAAAATATGCTGGTCAAGTTTTGGTTTAGCATTGGTCAGTTTTTGGTGTTTTTTTTTTTAAATCTAGAGATATGGCCTTTTAGCTTTTCAGAATTTTAATGAAACATTTTGCTAAAATGGTAAGACCTAAGTTTGAGAGCCATACCGATATCCAGTTGGAATGTGATACTAAAAAAGTGCCAAAATTCTTGTTGCTGGTAGGGTCATTTATGTTGCTCCAAAACATCTAACTTTTCTTAAGTTATAAACCTATAAAACTGATGTGAAACCTTTTCTTTAACTATTTGCCTTTAGAAACAGTGTTTCAGTAAAACAAACTTTATAGCTTTAGAAGGGATCTGTACTTTTGAAATAATGCAAACTTTATGGATGACATGAAGAGTTCTTTAGATTAAGTCTAATCATGTTTTTGACAATAAATGGAAGAGACAACCATTGGAGATTATCAAATTTGCAATTTAACAATAAAATTAGCCATTGACAATTCTAAGAAATTGTATTCATTACATGGAAGCCATAATTCAATAAATTACGGAAGATAACAAGAAATTTTGATGATGATTCAGATGACCTTGATATGATGCGTCAGACATTTATTGGTGTTTAATACTCTATCATTTAGGGTTGAAACATTGTGTACAAATTTTTCAGATCTGTTCCATGTAGTACATATTAAGAAACTTAATATTTAACAAAATTATTGTTGTATTTATTGATCAAACAAGTATTTTGCTAATATAGTTTCAAAAAAAGGAGATGCTTTCTAAATAATAACCTTCAAATAATCAGGACATTTATAGGGAGGGAAGATGAACAGGCAGCTTCACCATTAAAATTTAGAGCTGCCTGTTGCAATGTCACAGCTTGATCAATATTCCTCACACCAGTAAAGGAGGAGTGGGGGAGGGGGGAAGGGGGGCTACAGATTATACTAACTTGTTTTCACATCAGCTCTTGTCCATCCTCCTCAGCCAATCTATCAAATTGAAATCTCCCAACACAAAATCTCGTTAGCTTTTGTGATAATTCAAATCTTAATGATACCCTTGGTTATATGATGTGCTTGTCTTGTCTTGTTTGTTCTGATCAAAACAGATTTAAACTTTTTCAGGCTATTTATTTCTAAAGAGGTCAATTAATAAACTGGTAAAATCTGTCATAGAGATATCTTGTAATATCAGTGTTTAATCGTTTGAACATAAATGATTGCCTTGGTTACCTTGAAGGCAATGAATCCTTAAAATCTCTAACAAGAAGTATAATGCCCAGGGTGATATGATGCCAATTATCAAAGACGTTAAAGGCTGGAAGGTTCTCGTCTTCATATTTACACCCTAGAATCATCATTTCATATAACAATCACAGGGATCAAGGAAATTGTAGCAATACTACAGGTAGATATATATTGTATTAGTACATACGCTGATCACAGCCTGACACTAGGACCGATCACAGCCTGACACTAGGACCGATCACAGCCTGACACTTGGACCGATCACAGCCTGACACTAGGACCGATCACAGCCAGACACTAGGACCGATCACAGCCTGACACTAGGACCGATCACAGCCTGACACTACGACCGATCACAGCCTGACACTTGGACCGATCACAGCCTGACACTACGACCGATCACAGCCTGACACTTGGACCGATCACAGCCAGACACTAGGACCGATCACAGCCAGACACTAGGACCGATCACAGCCTGACACTAGGACCGATCACAGCCTGACACTACGACCGATCACAGCCTGACACTACGACCGATCACAGCCTGACACTTGGACCGATCACAGCCTGACATTACGACCGATCACAGCCTGACACTTGGACCGATCACAGCCTGACACTACGACCGATCACAGCCAGACACTAGGACCGATCACAGCCTGACACTAGGACCGATCACAGCCTGACACTTGGACCGATCACAGCCTGACACTTAGGACCGATCACAGCCTGACACTAGGACCGATCACAGCCTGACACTAGGACCGATCACAGCCTGACACTACGACCGATCACAGCCTGACACTACGACCGATCACAGCCTGACACTTGGACCGATCACAGCCTGACACTACGACCGATCACAGCCTGACACTTGGACCGATCACAGCCTGACACTAGGACCGATCACAGCCAGACACTAGGACCGATCACAGCCAGACACTAGGACCGATCACAGCCTGACACTAGGACCGATCACAGCCTGACACTACGACCGATCACAGCCTGACACTACGACCGAACAGCCTGACACTTGGACCGATCACAGCCTGACACTACGACCGATCACAGCCTGACACTTGGACCGATCACAGCCTGACACTAGGACCGATCACAGCCAGACACTAGGACCGATCACAGCCTGACACTACGACCGATCACAGCCTGACACTAGGACCGATCACAGCCAGACACTAGGACCGATCACAGCCTGACACTTGGACCGATCACAGCCGGACACTAGGACCGATCACAGCCTCACACTACGACTGATCACAGCCTCACACTAGGACTGATCACAGCCAGACACTAGGACTGACACTTTGGTTAGTACAAGTATATTTTGACTCAAACTAATCACAGGGCCTGGAGCATTTGTTACTTTCAGTTTGTTTTTAGCCCATCATGTTTACTGTTCAAATTCCGTGTCGGTCATCCATCGTCAGTTCTTAAACAATTCTTGTAACCACTGTTTCATGAGAAGTACTAGATAATTCATTCTCTAATGGTTAGTTTCCTTATGCGCTGAGAGTAATGTGCTCGACATTCAAGAACTTTAAATCAACAATTATACCCCTAAATACTCTGGTACCTATTTCTGATAGCTACAGATTATCAATTCTTAAGTTACCAGAAGTGGAAAAAATGTATGAAATTGATAGTTACAACCAATGGTCTGAGATGGGTTTTTTTCTCTGAACATCTGTATCCCTGCTTTTTCTTGTCACCCTGGGGGATTTTAGCTGTACTTAATATATCTTTTGTACATGAATGTATTTGTTCTACTTAAAAGAATTTGGAAAAAACCAGTACAAAGCATTGAGATGACAACCTTACGTGTATGAAAACCCAGAAGGATAAAAGAAAATTGATCATGCATTAAGTTAACCCATTAAAGAATATTTCCCCTTAGATTGAGGTCACTGCATTCTCACCCTAAGGAATGAGGGGCTGAAAGATTCTCTCATTCTATTAATCTATATTGCAGTATTATACTGTTAACTACACTGAAGGCATATCATATTATCTGGACAGGTGGAAATAGGTAGTACAATGTATTTGGGAGGGTACAAATTCACTTATTCGATGATATTGTTTAATCTAATTTCTTTTGAAAATTTCAGGTGCAATGGTTTAGAGGATCCAGTTCCAGCAGCAGAAACTGTCACAGAAGAACTTGATGTTGGAGAAAATGAAATAACATTCACCATTAGACCATTTCAGGTCCTGTCCTTTATCATTGACCTTCAGTAGAGGTTACCAGAAGGTCATGAGAATTTTAACAGATGGTGTTCCTGTCTCAAGTGCTATAAAAAGAATTGGTGATTAATATTTCAGTTGGAAATTTGAGAAATTATCATTATATGTTTACTGATATATAAGATATTCTAGATTTACACATTTCTACATTATAAACAGAAAATCATGCGTCATCATGACTGTTATTTCTGTTTTGAAATGTAACAGTATGATGTATTGATGTAAGATTGATTTAAAGAGAACAGTTAATTAAAAGTAACACAAACTTTGGTATTATCCTTGTCCAAATTATTCTGACGTCCTATCTTGTAGATAACTTTTTATCTGTGTGTGACATACATATGGAAATGACGACTCCTTACCACATGTATTGTTTGAATGGCTACCCAGGAGCTAGTTACTTGATTTCCTTTTTATAAGGCTAACATTCTTACTGTCATTGACCAATGTAAAAAAACTCAAAATAGAACATGCTTTTTGCCAGATAATGCGGTATATTGTGACAATACTGGTGTATCATACAGTGTATTGTACATGTTTTAATCATTACAAACTTTATTTTTAATACGGGTTGATAGATTTTACACACACTTGGTTACAATTTGTTACTAATTAAAATTGTGGGTACAGGGGGTCTATATCATCTAGGTCTTACTTAAATGATTTCATATTTGTAGAATTCAGGTAGATTTATGTTGGTGAAGGGCAGAATTTCTGACAACAGCTTTTAATGGTATTTTTCTATTCTAAGTCAGTTTAATGCTTATTACAACAAACTGTTATATTAGTTTCATGAATCTGTGGCAGAGAAATTTTTGTAATATAAATGTTGAGAGTAAAACTTGCTTTACATCCTTAAAACCTACATGCAGAAGTGGTGCATTTGCTTAGAAAGTGAGAAGCCACAAGCTTGATCTACAATTGCTTACTATGTACCGTTTCATGTAAACAGCTGGTAATTAACATAATAAGGCTAAACTTTTTCTTTGTAATCATATTTTTCTGTACAATAAGAAAGTATCTTGAATTGAAATAAATATACACGAAATATATGACTGTTAATGTTTATTTTCAGGAAAAAATTTGAATAGAAAGATATGAAATTTATAGTTAATTTGTCTACAGGGAAGTATGTTTATATCTACAAATGTAGAAAATGTGAATCCAGTCCAACAGTTTATTTTTTCCAGTGTAATGAATCAAGGTGTAATTCTACTGATTACCAAGGTAATGAACCTATACATTGTATACTGATGATTGATATATAATAAATTACTACCTTGTAATGAATTCTACAATGTGTCATTCCTGTGTTCATTATATACTTCACATAGAAAAATGGTACATATACAAGTGTATAGTATTACAGAACAAGATAATGATTGTCTCCTGTCTTACCTGTGTAGAAGCATGTCCTCTCTGATATTTTGTTGTTACAGAGTTTGTCCAGGTATTTGACAAGTCTCTCCATCTTACTTGGTGGTTCTTGTCTGCTGCTTAGTGAAACAAATTTAGACTGGGGTGAACAACTCACTCCTGTACAGCTTATCTTGTATTCCCATAGAGTATTTTTTCTGTGAAAGTTTCCGAACCTGTTAAAAAAACATGTATGACATTCTGTTCACCTGGTGTCTAACTTCGGACACTAACATTTGATTATGTAAGTATATGTATGAAACAGTATGTGTTTGGTGCCGTTATAAGGCCCGCTCGCGCCATTTCTGTTTGCTCTTTTCCCGTTTGAACATGTGACATTACTCACTTGGATTGTCGAAGATTCACGTGATGAAACCGAAGACGTATACTCTTTCAGAGCACCTGGTCATATTATTTAATATTCTTTTAGAAGGTGTTCGGTGTAAATCTTAGTTTTGTTTATGTTTTGTCCATCGGATGTGAGTTGACTTACGATTCCGTTGATATGTGAATTTCATTAACACCAAACATGCGTAAAGGACTTCACGGCGAGTATACATTGAAATGACGAGGTTTGTTTCACAAAAATCCAGTAGTTCTCTCAAAAGACATCTGCATTCTACCAAATATTAGTTTCTTCAGGAGCCATGATTGAGAGAGGGACTAAGTGGTACCCGGAACATGCATGTATAGTGAGTTTTATCAAATCAGATAATGTTTAAAGAAATCATTTGGAAATAACCATATACGGACACGATTAATGACAGCTGAACATAGTTCTTAATCCGTTTCAAAATCGAACTTTGCGAAGATGACATGCAAGTATATTTTATGAAATTTCATTAAGAAATACGTTTTGATGCTTAAGGCAGCCAGTGGTAGCCATATTGAATTTCAAGCTTGATCAGAACGTAGAAAGGTTTATTTTTTAAAAATATCTTCAGCAAAAATCAGTGAATAGTCACTCTTCCGAACTTCAAAACTCTAGAATGACGACTTGTGAGTTTAAGTTTTAAGGTCTCATTAAACTGAAACTAGTTGCTGTACATAATTCTATACCCGACTTAAAATCGACCTGAAGCAGGGAACTGTTCGTTACTATTTCGTACAGTTCATGTAGAGATTTCAGTCAAAATCAAAAGAATTCGATTCAATGCGCGGAGAAATATTTATGCAGCTGTCAACACAGACGTAAAGATCAGAGTTTATGTCTCTTTTGGAGACAACACCACGAAAACCCGATATCATTAGGACAATCGGATTACCCGTATAGTGGGAAAAAAGTCTGCCTGTGGTTATTTTTATTGCAGATCTCTACAATGACAGTAACTGCGAAACAATGGTAAAGCAAACAGAAGATATAAAACCCAATATTGAAGTCTGGAAATTGAATCGCAAAACACTGAGACAATTGTGTTAAAAATTTTTAACATGAGCAAAGGGACCATAAGAACACACCGCATGAATTTAAAACACGAGCATGCGACAGAAATGTATAGATTGTTCCACTGGCAAAGAAATTTGATAAGCACATGATTTGACGATATAGAAAGGAGCGTTCCTATCACAGCGAACGTGCCGAGATGTAGCGATCTTAAATTAACACCACACCTACAGTTTGTCTGAGGTTTCGTCGTCACAATAGGAAATGTCTTTGAAGGCGGTGTTGGATGGCGACAGATCTGGTTTCATAGAGATATAACTTTACCTAACACGTGACACCATAATCAATTTACACGGGCATGACGCGCGGTGTGACGTTACAGGGACGTGGATACTGTGATACCTGAACGTTTCACTCCGCCTTGTCCTCTCCATCCTTTTTATTATACAACTACATGACTATTGCAATGTGCATCCCTTCCTCATTTTTTAATACCTATAACGGCACATATTTATTCACTCCAGTTATTATTAAACTTTGTGCCTTGGCCCTACAACTTTTATGGTTGATATTCCCTAAACTGTAAATATTTAGTGCGTGAAGACATTTGCAATATAAATATACGCATCGAAATATGCATCGTTTAAATTTGCAAACAAATCGCCCACAATTTGCCATTTTCTATTACAAACCTTGAACTTTGTACAGAACAAGCTCACATCCGATTATTTACGTGTACCGGAAGTGCATAAGGAAGACCTCACCAAGAAAATTAACGAGTGAAAAGAAACAAAAGTTGGAATGGATAATCGATAACGTTCAGTCTCTTCAGTATATCTTAACAAACAACACGGGGTCTATAAATCTAAGTCACTTCTTCTCGGATGGTTCCAAATGACAGTTTGGAAACTGAGGTCTCGACTCTGAGAGCATCTTTTAATATTACATTGTTTTTGTTTCGTTGCATCACAACACAGTAACAGTATAATTGAGACGGGTGAGAGCGCTTTTTTACGCTATATTTTTGTATGTTTTCTTCCTTATATAGAAACGCCATCGTCTAGCGACTTTTAGAATCAAGTGCTTATCCACATGACAAGAAATTGCACAAGTAAATACGCCATTCATTGCTCCAGGTGAATTCTGATACAACAAACATGTAAAGCTGGTGTAGAGTTGATGTAATTTACTGTTGCTTTCATAGTTTGTATATCTGACAAGTCTGAGAGATGAAATTTAATCAAATGTAAACAAAAACAAAACCCGACTTCGGCTCTTTTGAAAATGATTTCTAATCTGTAATTTTGTTGCTCAAAACAGTAAAGATCAAAGCTAATGACTACCAATTCCAACCTCACACAGAGGTTTAATTTACTTGAACATCTCCATAAATATGTGTTTCAATGAATTTGTCGATGAATAAATTAGTCGATAGAAACAATCAGGATTAAGAGAAGAAGGATAAAAGAATTTTTTAAAAAGTGGAAAAAACATGAGGCCATGGCAAGTATAATTGAGAATTACGATAAATTCAAGTGTGCACGAACTCAAACCCCAATAGTGTTTGACTGGCGATGTCTGATTAATCAATTCCACAGGTACAACATGTGATTACATTAGATGGCAAATTGTTTTCCCTCGAAACGATAAAGATAATAAAATGAAGGATGGCACCATTAAGTTGTAGCCCGACCCGACATTGGGGACTTCTGTTCGAGGTCACGACATGGAAATGGTAGAGTGATGTTCCCCTTAACCATGGTTTGAATTATTGCTGTGTATAAAGAAATGAACCGATTCATACTACAAACCATGATCCGATGCTTTGCCTCCCGAATTTAGTTGCTGAATGCGACATAATATTTTAGTTTCTGACTCTACCGGTACTTTACCTCCCGAAGTTAGTTTCTGAATGATGTAACATAATATTTTATATTCTGACTCTATAACCATAGACACAAACGATCGACATGTCTTTGATCATCGACCATAATAAGGACAATTCCGACTTTCTAACTGCACACTCTCTATGTAGGAAGAAATAGTGTACTGGTATTACAGGAATGATACCATTACAATACAGGTAATTGCCAGCTGGGGAGGAATGTACACACTAATGCTACATAAATCTAGTACTTTAAAGCCCAGTTCATGATTTAGCAAATTGTGCAAAAGACACATTTAGAGTGAGATACAGTAGAGCCAAACAATGAATGGAAGTGCGTCATACAGTTGATTCTCCCTTTAAAGACACGTTAATAATTCTGTTGTTGTATGTAATTAATATACAGTGTTAGGGCTACATCCCAGCACAGGATAAATACACAATAATACTATCAGGGATCACCCTGTGGTCTGGTATACCCCAAGTTATTTACACGCAGACACACTAATATCAATCTCAATTTAAACATTGAACTGCATTTAGTTTACATTCATCCCCTGGAAATCTGCTAAATGTAGCCCAAAGCTTGTAATTATATCGTACTACAAATGGAGGCGACCTGAATCAGTTTACATCTCCAGCCTTCTTAGTTGTCAGAAGGTAAAACATCGCTGTCTCAGGTCAGGTTTTACCGTAGCATTGGCATGAAATGGTACTGGTAAATGGTATTTTAATATAAAGCTTCCTTGGAGTTTTAGGCATGGGGATGGATCGTTGTATATTAATTAAGGATAGTTCTCAACGGGACTTAGGTCCAGTTGATATAAACCATTGAAAACTGTTGGACATCGTATGTCTTGTTTTGATTCTGTTGCGTGAAGCCTGGACTGTTGAAGTCATACAAAAATACGGCAGAATTGTCATCTTACATATTTTTTATGGATATGTAAGGCTTCACTTGTTCACTCCAATATTGTAAACTAGCACTCACAGCAGAAACCATACTTCGGTACCGCTCTATAGAAAATTTCATGACAGTCTGACTTCGGTTCCCGGACTTTCACAGCAGAAACCCTACCTCGGTACCGCTCTATAAAAATATCATCAGTCTGCCTTCGGTTCCCGGACTTTCTTGGTACATAGGTACCGTCACGTCTACAATATTATATCATACGCTTATGACAGAGCATTCCTCCTATTCTCTACCTGATTTTATAGCAAAGTTACTGTTTACATGTGTTTCTGTTGTACAGCCCTTGTTGATTGCTCTCCATTGAAGTTCCCGGGGTATATAGTAATTATATATAGATAGTTTATTTTTCAATGTGTTCATTTGTACTTGAAGTTCTTTAGTTTTTAATTCAAATTATTGATATTATTTTTCAGTATACATGTATTTCTTACTAAATTCGTGAAGAAATATGCTGCTATTCATTAGAATGTCTTTTCGTACGACCATTAGGACAGAACAGACTCAAGATACTGGCGACATTGCTAGAAAACATGTCGGAGTTTGTACCACGCGCCTGTCCGTCTGAAAAGCTTGTTGTATCTAAATGGCAGGTGATACACGTAATAAATG